ACTGCTGTGGCCTCGCCTGGGACTGGGCCTGAGGTCCCCAGGTCAGCTCAGCTCTGCTCCCACCCCTGGACCCTCATCTCTTGCACTGGCTCTTGGTGTATTGCTGTATACACAGGGGCAGCGTCTTTCCTCTGTAAGCTTTGGCGCCTCAGAGCGATGTCTAAAAAACCATCAGATGCGCCCATCTCTGCTCTAACCTGTCATTTTCTCTGGCTTGCAAGGCATTTGCCTGCTAACGCCTATCCCCAGCACTGTCCTGCCTGGGACTTCCTTCTGAGCCTCTGTCTGCCCCATAGCCCTGTGCCCTGCCTCTCCCGGCAAACCCAGCTGCTCCTAGACCATGCCCGAGTCTACCACCATGTCTCCTGCCTTTGCCCAGACTGCTCCTGTCCCTCCCTCCCCACTTAGCTCCTGGTGTGAGTTTTTATAGAATTGCTTTTGCTAGGCTGTACTTTGACACGCTGCTATTATAAGAAGCAGACACTTGAAATCCATTTATTATAAGGATCTAGTGTTATTGATTAGGCCACATTGTCACTTTTAATGAAGACCCCTGGGGAAATTCTCTTCTCATCTTAAGTGCCCCAAATAGCTATCCTTTGAAACTGGTCCTTTCAAATTTATACATATATTGAGGGTGCTACCAACTGACCAGTTTCCCCTCTACGCACGGGCTCTCAGAAAGCCTAGCGCCCATGCCCCGCCTGGAGCTGGCTGGTGCGTGGGCCAGCTGGTGCTGCATTCTTGGCATCTGCCATTGATTTTCCTTCTTCTCTTCATCCCACGTTTCACTCCTGCTCTCTTGCTGTTTTATAAATCCCTATAAGCCACCTCAGAGCCTTTCTGGAACACGGTTGGCCTAAATCAATAAACTGATCGATACAAATAGAAAACCTTCCTCGCAGGGTTGTGGTGAGGATTAAATGGAATAATGGATGTGAGTGCAGCCCAGAGTTCCCTCCCAGGCTTGGTCGAAGGGCTAGCTGCCAGCTGGGGCCAAGGCGAGGGTCCCGCTGGAGGTTTCCACCCCAGGGCAGCCTCCATCTTCCTTGGTCTGTAGACGTCTCTTGGCCACTGCCCTTCCTGCCTTTGTCTTGCCCTCACCACATGTGCTCTGTTCCCTGTGGGGAGGAGCAGGAGGGTAGCTGTGTCTGTTCTCTCTTATCCCACTCCTCTCAGAAGTCATACAGTCAGCAGCGGGCCCCCTTCCCTCACCCTCGCCCTGGGATCTCAGATGCCCTAAGGGCCTCAGTTGCCATGTCTTGGAGTAGTTGGCGTGTGGTGGGCATACACTGGTGAGGAGACTAAGAGATGATCTGGTCCAGCCTATGCATTTGACAAATGAGGAAACTGAGGCCCAAAGAGAGAAGTGATGGAGCCACGTCCCTCACATGTTTCAGCTCCTCATGCCAAGTCTAAGCATTGTCCTGCTCTCCTCGAAAGCTCGCAGGGGATCCTCATGCCTCAGGTCAGGACCGCGCTCGCCAGCACAGCTTCTAAGCCCCTCTCCCGAGTCATTTCCACAAAGCACCCCTGTTTTGGTCATTGGCTGTTGTGTAGCCAAGTACCTCAAAATAGAGTGGCCCAAAAGAACGATAAACATTGATTGTCTCACAGTTTCTACAGGTGGCTGGGTGGTTCTGGCTTGGGGCCTTTCATGAGATTGCAGTCATGATGTGGGTTGGGGCTGTGTCTTAGTCTGTTTGGGCTGCTGTAATAAGAGTTCCATAAATTGGGCAGCTTATCACAGTCCTAGAAGACGGGAAGTGCAGGATCCAGGGGCCAACAGATACAGTGTTTGGTGAAGGCTCGCTTCCTGGCTGGGTCCTCACGGGGCGGGAGGGGCAGAGGAGCTCTCTCAGAACTCTTCTATGAGAACACTAACCCCATTCACAGCGGGCTCGACCTGCATGACCTGAGCACCTCCTAAAGGCCCCACTTCCTAATACCATCACATTGGGCATTAGGATTTCAACACCTGAATTTGGGGGCGGGGACACAAGCATCCAGTCCGCAGCAGGCAGCAGCATCTGCAAGCTTGCTGAGGCTGGAGAATCTACTCCCATGAGGACTCACGCACATTGTTGGCAAGCCGGTGCTGGCTGTTGGCTGCGGGCCTCAGTGCCTCTCCAGAAAGCTGCTTGAGTCCTGATGACATTGTGGCTGGCGTCTCACAGAGAGAGTGATCTGAGAGAGAGTAGAGAGGGAGCTACATAAAAGGATCCTTTATGATCTAGTCTCAGAAATTGCCCATCACTTCTGTCATATTCTGCTCTTTGGGAGTGAGGTCCTAAATCCCACCCACAATTAAGGGGAGAATTAAGCTCCATCTTTTGAAGGGAGGCATGTCGAAGAATTTGTGGACGTGTTTTAAAACCACCACAAAGCTCCCATAGACACATACCAGCCCTGTCAAACTGTGTGCTACGGTCCCAGCCCTCCTGCCTTGCTCCTTCCTGCCTCTGGGCTTTTGCACATGCTGTTCCCACTGTGTAGAATGTGCTTCCCTCGTTTCCCTTTCCTGCCTGGCAAACTCTGACTTACTTTTCAGGACCTGCTTCAGAGTTCCTCTCCTCTCCCGCAGGTAGAGCTGGTCACTTGCTCCTCTGAGCTTACTCATCTCCTTGTAAATACTGCCCTTCCCATGATTACTGTAAGCAGGAGTGTAAGTCTTTGTAGTATTCCCAGCAGGTAGTCGGCTCTCAGCACACACTCGCTGAATGAAGGAATGGAGATTTCGTTCTCAGCTTCTCCGTGTGTCCTCCAAGGGCTGTTAGTGTTTCAGGGTACTCTGTGCATTGTGTGACCTCTGCTTGCGTGAGCCCAGCTGTCGCGGAGCATGTGGGTGCTCCATCAAGGCCGGTTTGGTTCCACGTGGGGCTCCCACGTCTGCCTTGGCTCCTGGTTACTGTGACCGTGAGCCCCTGAGTGCGGGCCATGCCATTTACCTCTGTGTCTTGCTCCCAGCGAAGTAATTTACCTGTTAGATTACTCTGCCCAGCATCCCACTGAAGGAGAGGGAGAGAACAAGCCCACAGACCAAGGGAACAATAGAGCCAGTACGGGCTGTCCGGCCATGGTGGCAATTACTTGCATAACACGAGGAAACTGTGCTGGCCTATAGACCAGTGGCTCTCAACCTTCCTCATGCCGCGACCCTTTAATACAGCTCCTCATGTTGTGGTGACCCCCAACCATAAAATTATTTTCGTTGCTACTTCATAACTGTAATTTTGCTACTGATATGAATCATAATGTAAATATCTGATATGCAGGATGTATTTTCATTGTTACAAATTGAACATAATTAAAGCATAATGATTAATCACAAAAACAATATGTAATTATATATGTGTTTTCCGATGGTCTTAGGCGACCCCTGTGAAAGGGTCATTCGACCCCCAAAGGGGTCGCGACCTACACGTTGAGAACCGCTGCTATGGATGCACAGCCAGGAGCTGGGGAGCCAAGGACTCGAGCCGGCCTTCCTGGGCTCAGGGCCATGTGCACTTTGCTGTGGAGTTTCTGTTTTGTTGTCTCAGCAGAAAAACACAGACAGAAGGATGGAAGCCCCAATAGCTCAGGGGACAATGGCAGGGGATGGGGGTGCAGGGGGGCCGTGTTCCCAGGCCTCACAGTGGAGCCTGAGGCTCATGTGGTGAATGGTGATGGGAAGGAGATGGTCGAGGCCTGAGGGCCTGGCCCAGGAGAAGGGTCAGGGGGCCTGGGGGCTGCCTGACATTGAGTCCCACGTCAGGACAGCCAGCCCCGGCTGCAGTGTCTGATGCAGGGCTCTCTGCAGCCTGCCTGGGTCCCGTCCTGGTCAACCTTGGGTAAAATATTTAGGTTCCCTCCTCTGCAAAGTGGGAGATGCTTCCCACTCCATCTCCAGGCCTGTGTGCAAGGGGAGCTCGGGACCTGACTTCCTGGTTCCCCTTCTGAAGCCACCACCTGCCAGCTGTGTGTCCTTAAAGAAGCTGCTTAACCTCTCTGAGCCTCCCTTTCCTCTTTCTTTGTGGAAGGGGCATGGGGATAGCCTTCTCCCACGGTCAGTGTGAGGGTCAGGTGCACTCACACATGGGAAGTGCTGGGCAGGATGGCTCGGGGGGACGTGCTCAGAACACGATGGCAGTTCGTTCCACTGCTGTGGGAAGGGAAGGGGCATTTGTAAAGGCCTACAGTGAAGAGGTCGAGAGAGGGATGGAGAAACAGGAGGACGGTGCCAGCGGCCCAGTCTGGCCAGAGGAGCTGGAGGAAGAGTCCAGAGCTGGCCTAGGCTCGCACAGGCCGGAGATTGGCAGTGCCTCCTCCCTCACACCAGGATTTGAAGGGGGAGGTGACGAAATCCTCGGTGACCCCTGCTCTCCGAGTACAGGGCAGGGACGAGGCACTGCAGCCCCGAGGCCAGCGTGCTCCAGTCCCCCTGTGGGCCCAGGTCTGTGTGGTGGCTCTGCTGCCTGCAGTCCTGAGAGTGAGGGATCTGGCGTCAGACCCAGCCTGGAGTTCAAGACCTGGGGGCCACCTACTGGCGGGTTCCCTGGGGGCCACAGGTGCTTTCTTACAGAAAGTGAGCCTTCGGTGCACTCTCCACAGATCCCGGGGTGGCCGTGGGCCCCTCGAGAAGCCCGTCTCTCCTTTGCCATCGCCTTTGCATCCCTGGAGGATGCCCCAGGGGCTGAGCTGACCTCTGAGGGGAGCGGGGGAGGCAGGTTGGGGTCTGGCAGAGCTGGTCACCCATGCCCCAAGCTTCTCCCTCCAGTTGCAACCCCTCTGCCCAGAGAATGGGAGGTGGCTGGGCACCGAGCTCCAGCTCATTCATTCATTCATTCATTCATTCAAATGCTTACCAGGGAGGAGCTTTTGTGTGTCAGGCGCTGTCCCAGGCTGGGATGCCGCTGTGACAGTCCCACTGTCTGGCGCCCTCCCCTCCCTGACGCAGCAGGGCCCTCTGGAAGCGGCCTCTCTGACCAGTGTGTTTCTTCCTCTGGCTCGACCCTCAGGGACCTGAGTGAGAACGCCATCCAGGCTATCCCCAGGAAGGCTTTCCGAGGAGCCACAGACCTCAAAAACTTGTGAGTACAGGCCTGGGGTGGAGAGGGCCTGGGGCCACAGGGCCTCCCCTGGCAGTATTCTCGTGGGTCTCCCCGAGCCCTGGAGTTCAGGCAGCCACGGAGCTGGTCTCTGGTCTGAGGTGTCAGTGCCAGCATGGTTTTCTGGAACCATCTGGAGTGGGAGGAAACGGGCCACCTTGGAGGGCTGTGGGCTGCCAGGGTGATGTTCTGGGTCCATTTGAACAGACAGTCTCCGTGGCCCTTGCCCTTCGGGAGATTGGGAGAGCTGGGCTTGAATCCCCTCTTTCAGGCACTTATTGCATAAGCTGCTGCAAGTCAGTTAGCTCACTGAGCCTCAACATATTGTTTTGTGAAATGAGGATATCACACTTCACGGGCTTGTTCTGAGGTTTGAACGAGACGTGGCAAATGCCTGGCATGCTTGTCACTACCGACAGTCCCCTTGCCCCCTCCCGTGCCTGTAGCAGACATTGGTAATTGATCACCACGTTCTTTCCCAAGGAGCCCGGGCCAGGCGTCAGTGTATTCTGAGAGCAGCGCTCCAGGTAGCCACAGCTCGTCAGCCCCCCTGGGCACTGGGGCTGGGATCTGCCCCCGGCTCTGGCTGCAATGGCTGCTGTGACAGACTCATTCCTCAGCTGCCAGCACCTTCTAGGTGGTCTCCACAATGGGGTGGGTGCCTGCTCCCCAGGAGAGAGGCAAGGTTAGGAAGAGGCATCGAATAAAACTTTTATTTACATGTATTGTTTTAACTGAAAAACAAGGAATACTTGAAGTTCTTGCTATTTACTATTTGGATGGACACATTTGTTCGGAACAAGGGATGGGGTCAGGCCTTTTTAAAAGAAAATGGAATGGAGCGCGTGGTCAGGATGTGTGGACGCTGCTCTCAGCGACGTGCCGTCCTCTGCACACCCTCCCTTTGCTTCACAGACAGCTGGACAAGAACCAGATCAGCTGCATCGAGGAAGGCGCCTTCCGGGCTCTTCGGGGGCTGGAGGTGCTGTAAGTAACACACGGGAGGGAAGAGAGGCTCCGGGAGTCCGGCTGGCACAGGTGCCAGGGGGTGGGGTGTGGTGGGGCCCAGGCAGCGGGCGTGGGGGCCTCGGAGAGCACAGGAGGCAGGAGACTTGGGAGGCGTGGCAGGCCCCCCAGGACGCATGCTCGCAGGAGCATGGCCGAGGCTTATCCTGCTTATGATGACACCAGGGCCATGGCTGTGTCTTCCAGGAGTTTCTGACACGTGGTTGTCTAGACCCCACGCCTGCACCTGTCCCTCTCCCGGCTCCTCCCGTCCCACCAGCCTCGAGGCTGCGGCACAGCTGCCTCCTGATCAGGCAGCTCAGGGCTTTCCCTGGCGGTGGCTCTGTGTCTCATGCTCTTTGGCATAGGCCCCCTGCCCTCTCCCCCCCCACCCCCCGGCCCCAGGTCCAGCCGAGAGCTGGCCCAGCTTGCGGGTGGAACGGAGAACAGTGTGGGGGTCTGCCTGTTTGTCAGAGAGAAGCCCTGCTCTCCCTCCCACGTGAGCTCCTGCTGGACAGACGCTAACAGACTCTGGTTTCCCCACCAGGACCCTGAACAACAACAACATCACCGCCATCCCCGTGTCCAGCTTCAACCACATGCCCAAGCTGCGGACCTTGTGAGTCAGCCCGGGTGGCCGGGAGGACAGCCCCGAGCTGGCGGTTGCCCGGGCAGTGGGGAGCCGGGCGCAGGCTTCCACAGGCAGGGGAGCGGGCTCCTTCTTGCATCCCCCAGCGCCCGGCCAGGGTGGGGTCAGGGGAGGTCATCTGACATGAAAGGAGGTTGAGTGTCATTTATATTTGATTTTTCCTTGGAAAACCAATGATTTCTTTTTGTGCTTGAAAATGAGCTATGTGACTTGGGTCAGTGGGTCTGTATGAGTTCAGGGAGGTGAATCGACAAGAGCCGGGCAAAATGCAGTCCAGGGGGTGCCCCCCCGAGCATGGTGGGAGGAAAGGGGCCACGGCTGGGAGTTTCCTGCTGCTGCCGACAGTCCCCAGGTTGGAGCTGTGGGCTGACTGCGCATGGACTGTGCTTGGTCAAGTGTAGTATGGCGCTCGGCCCCTCCTGGGTAGAGGGGTTCCCACTCGTTGGCCGGGGTCTGGGGGCCCCAGGTGGGTTGTGAGCGTCCCTGTCTCCCTGCAGCCGCCTGCACTCCAACCACCTGTTCTGCGACTGCCACCTGGCCTGGCTCTCGCAATGGCTGAGGCAGCGGCCAACCATCGGGCTCTTCACCCAGTGCTCAGGCCCCGCCGGCCTGCGTGGCCTCAACGTGGCCGAGGTCCAGAAGAGCGAGTTCAGCTGCTCAGGTGGGTGCAGGCGCGCTGGGGCTCTCGACTGTCCATCTCGACTGCCCATCACCTGCCTCCTGCAGCCTCCCCCTAACGTTCCCCCCATTACTTCCTGTCTCCACCACACATTGACATCTGGCACATTCATCACCTTCTGTCCTCCTCCATCGCCTTCTAGACCACCCACCATCTCCTGTCTCCACCCGTTTTCTGTTCCCATCCACCACCTGTCTCTAGGCATCACCTCCTTTCTTTACCCATCACATTCTGTCTTTATCTGTCACCTCCTGTGTCCACCCGTCTCCCCCTCCTGTCCATCCATTATCTCCTGTTCTCACCCAAAGCCTTTGTCTCCACATATCACCTCTTGCCTTCTCTCCTTTGTCCCTCCTGCCACACCATCTTCTCTTCCTGTCCGCCCATCGCCTCCTCCCACATTGTCCCTCTCTGTCCGACCTCCTGTCCCTCACCCCTCCTCTCCCCTCCCACCCCTTTCCTCCTCCTATTGCCACCCTTCCCTCCTGTGACGGCCTTGTCTGAAAAGTCATTGAATTGGCCCATCTCGCCTCGGCTGTGAGAGCCTCCTGCCTGCCCACCCACTTCCTTTCTAGCCCCTTCCGTCTCCATATGCAGCCAGAGGACCTGAAAGGATCCACAGGTCTGGGCAGGTCACTGCTGCCTGGTACTCACCAGCCCCCTGGGAGAGTCCAAACTGTCCCCAAGCTCTGCGAGGCCGGGGCAGGGTCATCTCAGCCTCCCCCGGCCGCCCTTTGGCCTTGTCACTCAGTGTGTCCCAGCGGGGTCCGCCTGGGCCCTTCCCGGAGCAGGTGCCTCCCACCCCAGCCTTCTCGCAGGCTGGACCTGTTGGCACCCCCTCCTGCCTTGTTCCCTGGTCCCAGGCACATGGACGATGTGGTCGTGGTTTCTGACTGTATCCCCAGCACTTGGCCTGTGCTTGGCACAGAGAGATGCTCAAGAAAGGTTTGCTGAGTGAATGAATGGTTCAGATTCACAACAGAGGATGAGGGGCTGCCCGTTCTCCCAAACCAGTGAGTGAGCCTGCCAGCCGCTTAGAGCGCTGAGGGAGGAGTGTCTACTGGGTCTGGCAGCCTCTTGTCCGAGTGAGGCTCCCCTCCCCCACAGCACTGGCAGCACCGAGGCTGCCCCTGAGCACTGCTGAGCTGAAGGCTGCTGAGTGTGTGTGTGTGTGTGTGAGTGTGTGTACAAGAGTGTGAGTGTGGCTCAGTGGTTGAGCGTCAGCCTGTGAACCAGGAGGTCATGGTTAGATTCCCAGTCAGGACACATGCCCGGGTTCTGGGCTTGATTCCCGGTAGGGAGCGTGCAGAAGGCAGCTGATCAATGATTCTTTCTCACCATTGATGTTTCTATCTCTCTCTCCCTCTCCCTACCTCTCTGAAATCAATATATATACACACATATACATATTTGTGTGTGTGTGACTGTGTGAATGTGAGGGTGCATGTGGAGAGAGTGTATGACTGTATATGTGAGTGTGTGTGTGTGTGTGTGTGTGTGTGAGCATGTGAGTGTGTGACTATGACTGTGATTGTGAGTGTGCGTACAGGAGTATGAGTGTGTGAGCGTGTGTACGTGTGTGCACACGTGGGTGTGTACTCGTGTGTGAGGAGCGTCAGGCTGATGCGCCCCTCCGAGTAATTGCAGCTGCCCCAGGTTTTAGGAAGAGATACTTCACTGGGACAATTATTTGAAGTGAGACCTTTTTCTTTGCATTTGAATACCTTGGTTTCTATATTCAGGCACCACTCGCCCTCCCCCCCCCGCCCCCCCCCCCCGGTCTGTTCCCCCCGGGGACCCCTCTCCTGAGAAGGCGCTGCCACAATTTGCCAGAGGGCCTAGGACTTTGTCTTTTCTGATCTTGGCACCCATCCTTCAGGGGAGCCAAGCAAAGGTTAGAGGTTAAAACGCTGGTGGGTGTGTAAATCGGCTCAGCCGCTTCGCACAACTGTTCAGCAGAATCTACGAAAGCCCAGCATATGTCTACCCGTGACCCTGCAGCTCCTGCTAGGTGTGTGCATATGCTCTGCCAACACGCGTGTCCAAGAATATCCAAGGCAGCTTTCTTCACAGCAGCTCAGAGTTGGAGACAGCGCACATGTCCACCAACAAGAGTGGATTAACTATTTATAACTCATCTGTGCAATAGAATTCTAGTCATAGTTAAAAAAACACCTACTGATACAGACACAGTGCCAAAGATTTTATACTGAGCCAAAGAAGCCAGACACGAGAACCTGCTGTCTGATTTCATTATGTGAAGTCCACAAACGCAGAAGAAATCTTCAGTGCTGGGTCTCAGAACAATGGTTGCCTTGGGGAAAGGGTAGACGAGCCTTTGTGGGTGATAGAAATGTTACATGTCTGGGGGGGAGGCGGTATATTCATAAGTAGAAATCAGCCAGCTATACACTTAAGACAATACCCTGTATATAACTTATACTTCAATTACAGTAATTTATGACACTGGGCTTCATCCTAGTTTCAGCATCTATCAGCTGTGTGAGTTTCCACAAATTAATTAATATTGAGGACTCTGTCTTCTCACCTGTAAAATGGGCACAATAATACCATGCTCCTCCAAGGTTGAGCTGAGTGACTTGGACGAGAACCTGTGGCTTCAGAATTCAGGCGGGGGTTTCCTGGCACCTGAATCCCACTTCCGCGCAGCACAGTCAGGTCGAGATTCAAGTTCAGCAAACATCTAACAAGGTCCTCTGTGTGCCAGGTGCCCGCAGGGTTACACGGCAGTTCTTGGTGATCTCGGGTTCATCCTCATCCAGAAAAACACCATGTGCCCCGTCCCTACTCATCAGTCTGTATCTCAGGAGGGGGTGCTGACAGGGGACACCCCGAGGTCACAGCCCACTGTTTCCGCAGGCCAGGGGGAGGCAGGGCACGTGCCCTCTTGCACCCTCTCCTCCGGCTCCTGCCCGGCCATGTGCTCCTGCAGCAACGGCATTGTGGACTGCCGTGGCAAAGGCCTCACCGCCATCCCTGCCAACCTGCCCGAGACCATGACGGAGATGTGAGTACAGGGCAGGACAGGCACGGGGCACAGGCTCTGGGGCTAGGCCAGGCTCTGGTGGTCCAGGGAAGAGCTGGAGTGGATGCCACCCAAGGACTTGCTTCAAGATCCTTCAGTGCAAATGGAGAAGTCAGTGCTTTGGCGGGCTGAGCTCTCTGCCCAGGCTGGGCAACGTCGATCTGTCCAACCCAGCTGGGTGTCTGCTAGGACTGGGTTCTTAGAATTAGCATCATTTGTGGGCCTTGTAGTCATGGCAGCCTGGGATAACGGAGCTCACATCTGCCTGTGCCAGCCCACCGACTCTGGACAGAAGTTGGGAGCAGGACAGGGGGACAGAGGGCATGGTTGGGGGGGTGAGCCCAGCAGGCAGCAGCTCAGACTGGGGCGACCTGACCGGGGGCCCCCTCTGTGTTCTCTGCCCGCAGCCGCCTGGAGCTCAACGGAATCAAGTCCATTCCCCCGGGAGCCTTCTCTCCCTACAGAAAGCTGCGGAGGATGTGAGTGCCTCCCCCTGCTTCCTGAGAGTCAGCAGGGGCGGGAGGGAGACCCCGGGCCTGGCAGGCCACAGCCCCGGGCAGGCCCTGCCTCTGCCTCTGGGCTAGCTGCTGCCTGGTGGTCCCACCCCTGAGGTGGCTCCTCTGTGACCTGGGCTGGCAGTGGTGTGACCTCCTTGCAGGGTTGTCCTGAGGCCTAAATGTTGAGCCCGAGTCTGGCATTTGGCCAGACTATCATCCTTCCATTTCAGCTTGGGCACCAATGGGAGCCGCCATGGACATCAGAGGGGATGTTGGGGAAGCTGGGAGGTGGGGGAAAACTATCAAAACAGACCAAGGCTGGAGTGTCCCATCTGCACAGGACCCTGGGACCGCACAGGGGGATAGGGCCGTGGGTTTTCCTGATGGAGGGGAGAAGGGGCCCCTCACTTTTCTAATTTCAAAGCAGCCCCTGCCCTCCTGTGGCATCTGGGAGGGGCAGGGGACCAGGCACGGCTTGGTAGCCGCTGAGGGATTCAGCCACCCTCTGTCTCTCTCACTGCAGAGACCTGAGCAACAACCAGATCGCAGAGATCGCGCCTGATGCCTTCCAGGGCCTACGCTCCCTGAACTCACTGTGAGTAGCAGCGCCTGCCGGTCCAGGGTGTCTTCCAAGGAGGCCAGCAGGGCCTGGAGCCCCTCCAGTGGGTGCTGGAAAGAGAGCACAGCCCCCACCCTCCCGGCCTCAACGGGTTCCCCTTTGGCTGCAAAGTCCAGGGTCGCTATGCCCAGCATCCCCTTCCTCACTGGTGGACCCTCTGCAGCTGGGAGGGGAGGAGGGAATCCAGGACTGAGTGCATGCAAAATCAGGCAGAGCCGTTGCCCTGGCAACTGTGATGCTCTCCCCACCACAGTGGGGATTTTCCCAGCATGCTTTGTGGCAGTCATTGGACTGGGCCCAGCTTTCCTGTTGGCCCTGCCTCCCCACAGAGGCCCAGCATTCCATGCTCCTGAGCCTTCCCCAGGTCACCTACAATGGAGCACCCACCAGCTCCAGCTGCGACATCTGCCACACCTGTGTCTTCCGTCCCCAGCATGCTCTGATCCCAAGTTGTGGTGAGGATGCGAAGGAAGCATTTTCCTCCACCTCTCTCCAGCATTCCCTTTCTCAAGGGTTTACTGGGGTGGGGTGGGGTCTGTAAATCTACAAAGCATCGTGCAGCATCAAAATTTTATCTCGGAAAAATAAAAATTAAATTTAGCAACACCAAAAAAAAAATAAATTCATTCAGGAATGTTACTTCATCTCTCTTTTTCCAAGAACCCCTGCTTGTCTCCCCCCAACCCCCCGCCATGTTCACAAGCCCCTCACTCTCTGAGGTCCCATGGCACGTTGTCTGTGCAGAGAGTGCACTCAGGGTGCCTGTAGGCAGGCGAGCTCCCCTGGGCGGGGGCCTAGTGTTACTCTTAGGAATCGTGTTTTCACTGCCCCCTGGCAGCATGGACACATGCCTCACGTAGATGAGGGTCATGAGGATCCTGGGAAGTGGAGGGGGATGCAGCCCCCGTCGCTGAGTGCCTTTCGTGTGCCTTTTCTCCTGGAGTGGGGTCCGAGGCAGGGACTCCTGTGAATGGCGCCGCTTAGGGCGTGCAGTGTAGGACTACACAGCAGGACGTGGCTGCCTGGGCCTGGGCCACTGTCGGTGGCGGAGATCGGGTCCTGGAGGGGCCTGCCAAGATGCAGGCCTCTTCCTCTGAGGAGCGAATGGATCTCCTTCTAAGTTGGACGTGTGTTGGTAACACATCTAAATGGGCTTCTGTTCTTAACTCCCTGCACCCACGCCTGCCCCCTGCACGCCCTTCCCCACACGGCAGATTGGGGGGTCTTTGCAGATGGGAACCTGATCATGTCTCAGAGGCTGCCTGGTGCTGGATAGGCGACGTCCAAGCTTCTGTCCCATTTGTTTCCTCCACTCAGGCCACGCTGGGCCCCCCTCCCCCCCCAGCGCCAGCCCGCCCCCACCGCGGGGCCTTTGCTCCTCCCGGCCCCCTCCGGGAATGAGCTGGAAGTCACGTGTGAAGAGGCAGCCCACTGTTTTTGCTCAGAGGGAACGTGTGTGGGGAGGGGGGTGCTGCTTGAGGTGTTGGGAATAAAATAGCCCCCACCCCCCAGCCCCCTTCCTTCCTCTTGGTCTGCCTGAGCCCGTTCCGGCCTGCTTTGAGTCTCTGCTTTTCTTCGTATTACGCGGAATTCGCGCTCAGTGTAGAGAACTGAACATACCCAAGTACAGAAACCCGCCGCCCGGATCTCGGCACAGCCAGCACCGTGGTCTGTTTCTTCCCGGTGCTTTGTCTGAACACAGACTTGCTTGACCTGCGGGAGCTCACATGCTAACTACTCCCGCCCATGAGATTTCTCCCTGAACGGTCTCTTTTGGGTCCTAGAGCAGGTTGGTTTCCCACAAGGCCCCCTGAAGGGTCCTTTTGCAGGCTTCTGTGGGGCCCATGTGTGGACGGAGGGAGGGCTGTGCCTGCAGTGATGGGGTGACGGCCACCTCGAGCCCTTAGCGCGCTTGTGTGCAAACTACTAGGTGCACCGGTTAATGATGCGGATTTTTTTCAATTGATGGGGTTACACATGTGTTGATACGTATGCGCTTTGATATGTATGCCATTTTGTTGTTTTGACAATAAGCTTCAGAACTTCATGTGTCAAATTTTCTGAAGGTGTTAACATCATAGATATTTTTATGCTTAAAAATGTCGAATTTCATGTCAAAAAAAGAGTATTTGCGGGAAGTTTTAATTCATTACTTCATGTGGAAGAAAAGTGCTAGCTATAGACATTACTTTGAATAAAGCACGTTTGATATTTCTCTTGAAATGATCATGCTTTCTTTCATCACAAAATCCGAATTATTAACCGGTCAATAATTAAGCCGCATTACTAACCGGTTAATGATTATTCTGCAATACTAACCGGTTAGTAATCCGCATTATTAACCTGTTAATAATTAATCCACATTATTAACCGGTTACTGGTTAATCCACATTGTTAACCGTTACTGATTAATGCAGTAACCGGGACACGGAGAAAGGACAGGGGACTCTTTCTTAATCACTCTACTGCCATCTGCTGGCAATTTGTTATCACAAACCTCCAGCCTGGTGGGCTGTCCGCTAACCCTCCCCTTCTGCTGCCTTTTCTCCAGGGTCCTCTATGGGAACAAGATCACAGACCTCCCCCGGGGTGTGTTTGGCGGCCTGTACAACCTGCAGCTCCTGTAAGGGCCCATCGGATGGTTGCTTGGGTGGGGCCCTGGGAGGGAGCCAGTATTCCTCTGGCCTCCCAGCCTGCCTTTCCCACCTCTTTGGGGTGTGGGACTCCCCAGAGGCAAGGAGCGTGGAGGATGCAGATGCAGTAGGGCTGTGAGAGGCTTTGGGGCTCTGCAGAGCCAGAGAGGCGACTCGGACTGATGGCGGGAGGCCTGAAGGAGGGGCTGCTGCGACGCAGGCTGGTCCTAAGGAGGCCGGCATGGCTGAGGAGAGCTATCCATCACATGGGTCGCCCGGGCCAGCTCAGCCTCCTCGAACCAGGAGAGTTCAAGCAAGGGCTCTCCCCCAGGACCCAAGAGGCACGGAGCCCCTCTCAGCTGCCTGGGACCCCGCAGAACTCTGGGATCGGGGAGGAGCCTCCCACGGCCTTTGGGAGGTGGCTTTGCCCCGATGCTCCCTGGTTTCCGGGGATGCCAGGGGCACCTCTAGCGGTTCCTTGAAAGAGAGAAGAGGGGGTGGCTGAGCTGGTCCCCGTGCATGGAGGAGGCAGTCAGAGTTCTCCACGCCTGTGTGTGGAGTGGGCACCCAGAGGGCCAGATCCCTGTGCCTGCTCAGCGCCCAGGAAGGTGCCCAGGACGTGTCGGTGAGTCTGATGCTGTGCCTTCCCCTCACTACCTGGCCCTGGTCTGCCCACAGGCTCCTGAACGCCAACAAGATCAACTGCATCCGGCCGGACGCCTTCCAGGACCTGCAGAACCTCTCGCTTCTCTCCCTGTATGACAACAAGATCCAGAGCCTCGCCAAGGGCACCTTCACCTCCCTGCGGGCCATCCAGACCCTGTGAGTACCCTCTGCCCCCCCTCCCCCTCTGCCCAGCAGGTAGACCTAGGGGGAGGCAAGGGCCTCCTGGTGCAGGCAGCTAACTGTCTTGACCTGTGCCTTTTTCTCACCACAATCATCTCTTAGGGAGGAAAGAGCACAGGCACCGGGTTAGACAATCCTGGGTTCAAATCCCAGCTATGCCTCATATTGGCTGTGTGACTCTGGGCAAGTTAATTTGCTTCTCTGGGCCTCAGTTTACTTATTCATAAAATGAGGATATCATCTTCATGAGGTTGTTATGGGATTAAAGGGGATGTTTGTATAGAGCTTAGCATATTGTAAATGCTTCTTAAATGCTGGCTACCGTTAATAATAATAGTATTAATAATAACAATGTCCATTGATTCCAAGACACATGTTTCTACATTAACAGCTCTGAAATTGGGGTGCATTGCAACGTTGACAGCATATCATTTAATTGACATTTTGTTCTTTCTTGATAATACATAAAAGTACATCTTGCAATGGATAATGTCTTAAATCAGATAAAATCTAGTAATGGCAATGATGATTAAAAATTAGAGAGCAACGGCACTAGGAATTTGTTTTCATCTTTTGTTATAGGATATTACAAGCATATTAAAGGTGGCACTGTGACCCGGCCACTACTCACCACCCAGCTTCACACAGGGCCAGTCTCCTTTCAGCTACACTTCCCCTCTTCCCTGCCTCCCAGGCATCATTTATCTTCTATCACTTGTCACTTCACACATATGTATAAAAGGCAAGGACTCTAAAAACACAACCACATCACTATTATTATATCTTGAACATTTAAAAATTAATCCCTCGATATCATCAGATATCTCATTACTGAATTTCCAAGTGTCTCACACACGTTATACAATTTTGAAGGCAATTTGTTGGAATCAGGATTTAAATTAGGTCTGTGCAATACAATTGGCTGGTATTGGCGGATGTATCACTTCAGTTTTTAATCTATAAGTGTCCTCTCCACTCCCTTTTCCTTGCAGTTTGTTTGTTGCATACACTGCATTATTGGTTCCGTGGAGTTTCCCCCAGTATGGGCTTCCCTGGTTGTAGTCCCCATGGCGTAGTTTCACACACTCCTCTGTCCTGAACACAGAAGTTTACAACTGGGAGCTTGGCCAGGTTCCAATTTTTTTCTTTTTTGGGCAAAGTGACTTCATAGGGAGGACCATGCACTTGCACAGGAGGCACATGGTGTCTGGTTGTCTCTCTTTCTGTAATTAACACGGCCATTGGTCTGAATGCCTGGACCCACTCGTTCATTAGGGGTCCTGAAATGGAGACGTTTGAACTCTAACGTTCGTTCTTCGTTTGATAATGCGGTTGTGGTCATGCTTTTATAACGAGTCCTTATTTCCAGCTGGCATGCTTCTGGGTAGGGAAGTTTCTTGTCGTCTTCTATTTGGTTGAACTAGGCACTTACTAGTAGGTGGTGTCCTTCATTCTGCATCTTTAATCCCGGGCCCTATAGTTTGACTCGATGTGCTGGCCTGTGGGCCCGATGGTGTGCCCTTCATGGGCGTTGATTATCAATGTTGTCGTAGCCACTGTTGTCGTTGCCATCCCTGCCACAGTGTTTATCCGCTGAGCCGTGCTTTCCCTCAGATAACACCTGCACGGAGTCCTGCTCCCTGGGGACTCCGCGCGTCGGCTGGGATGTCAGCCGCGAAGACAAGCTCATTAAAGCCCACGAACCCGCCCGCAGCCCACTCCTGCTAATTGATTTCCTTACAGCCGGGGAGAGGAAGGTGGAGCACCACGGGGAAATCTTGTCAAGAATGGGAAATTAGAGGTCACAGGCAAGGGGCGGCCTGTACAATGGCCCGCAGGAGGCAGCCTGGGTCCTGGTGCCTGCTCTGCCACCTCACCTGCGGCAGGACAGCGGTGCTCTGGCCTGGCCGCAGGTCACTCCTGCCTCCATTCGTGTTTGTGAAATGTCCCCGGGCAGAGGGAGGGGCAGGTGAAAGCAGGAGTGGGGACAGGGGGGCTGGCCGGGGGAGTGTGGCAGGCACAGCTGGGGGCCCCAGAGCTGCCGAGCCCCTCTTCTCTGTGATGCTGGGCAAGACTTCTCTGAGGGTGGTGGGTGCCCCCAAGCGGTGCCCTCGGGTGGTGCGTGTCTCCCCAGGGCCAGCCCGGGCTTCAGGCTGAGAGCCAGCGGGGAGGCCTCACTCACCCAGGGGAGGTCAGCGCAGACCCGGAGCCCCAGCTCTGACCCCTGCCCTGCCCCCTTTGCACAGGCATCTGGCCCAGAACCCTTTCATCTGTGACTGTAACCTCAAGTGGCTGGCGGACTTCCTGCGTACCAACCCCATCGAGACTAGCGGGGCCCGCTGCGCCAGCCCCGGCCGCCTGGCCAACAAGCGCATCGGGCAGATCAAGAGCAAGAAGTTCCGGTGCTCAGGTAGCTGCCTGCCCCCGTCTGTCTTCCGTTTGCTCGGGGACCGAGATGCTTCCTGGCTGGCTCCAGCAAGGATGTCCCGGGTGTGGGCCCCAAATTGTGGACGTGGATCTGAACGGTGTTCGATCCCACCCCTGGTTTACCCCAAGCCTGGGGAGGGGAGGTCGGAGGGAGGACCCAGACAAGGACCCAGGTCCTCCACCCCCAGGCCAGTGCTCTCGTACCACTTTCAGCCTAAGACCCTCGGAGGCCTGGGACCCTCGCAGAGAGAGAGCGGCCTCCTCCACGTCCAGAGGCAGCAGAAACAGCCTCTGGCCGGGGACAGGGTGGGTCAGCTTCTGAGCCGGGATTCTGGTGGAGGCCTGGTGCCCCCAGCCCCATCTTGGCCCTCCCTGAGAGGTGTAATTGGGTGGGGTGCTGTCCCAGCATTGGCCTGGGCCAGGCAGAGCTTCTCCACACAGGGGCTGGGCAGGTGGGCCCTGGTCTGGGACCCCAGCCTTGTTCCTGGGGTGCGTCCGGCTGGGCAGTGGGCCTGGGGCCTGGGCTTTCTTGCAAGTCCTGGACGATCCCACTAACGTCATGGTGTTTCCCTTTGCAGCCAAAGAGCAGTACTTCATTCCAGGTGGGAAAGTGGGGGAACTGGGGGCCATCCGGGTGGGACGGTGGCTGTGGGGGGGCAGGAGGCTGGGGCAGCAGCCTGAGGGGGTGGGCGAGCCTGCTTGGAGCCGACCCCGGCCCTCAGCCCCGGCCCTGGCCATCTCCCCACAGGCACGGAGGATTATCAGCTGAACAGCGAGTGCAACAGCGACGTGGTCTGTCCCCACAAGTGCCGCTGTGAGGCCGGCGTGGCCGAGTGCTCCAGCCTGAGGCTCACCAAGATCCCCGAGCGCATCCCCCAGTCCACCGCCGAGCTGTGAGCCCCCCAGCCCCGCACACCCCTCACTCGCCCCTGCCCCTGCCCCTCTCGCCCCTCCGTGCCCCTCACTTGCCCCGGCTCCTGTTACCCTCCCTGCGCCTGCTCCAGGCTCTCCTCTGGTTGGGCTCTGTTTGGGGGCCACTGGAGACCCCACCATAACAGCTGCTGGCTTTGCAGGACGCAGCCCCCTGTGGCCCCTTTGCTTCTGACTCACAGCCCTACTCACTCTTGAAGCTTTTCTGACATCCGGGGCAGGTCACCAACCTGAACCAGGGGTGCCGTCTCGCAATGATGCTTTGGCCATTTTGGGGGACACGATTTCATTAGCTGAAGTTGGGGCTAAAGCTGTCCTTTAGCTATTTCTTTCCTCTGTCTAAAAATATAAATTGGTGCACATATATAGATGTCCCAAGAAAGGTAAACACACACTTGGAATAATTATAAAGGCGGTGTTTATTAAAATACATTTTACTTTTAAAATTGAGCTATCAGCTGTTAAAGTGTGTCTATATTTTGGGGGGACACCCTGTGCACGCATGAGCATGGATACCTACGCACATACCATTTGTGTGTGTAAATTTTCATAGCACTTTTAATGTTAACAATATCCCCATGCACAGCTCCCCTCCTCCCAGCTCCTTTGAAATAGGGTCAGTTTGCCTTGCCAGATAAATTCTCCTGGGGGTCCCCTTTGTCTGAAAGATACTTCAGTGTCTGTCATTTACGCTGTGTAAGTTCCCTCGATTGCCTCTTACAGGCGATTAAACAACAATGAGATCTCCATCCTGGAGGCCACTGGCATGTTTAAAAAACTCACCCACCTGAAGAAAATGTGAGTGGCCCATTGGCGGGAAGGGTGCAGTCAGGACGCTGGCCAGGGATGCAGAAGGAAGATTCTGGGTGTCGGGAGCTCCTGCGGGGTAGGGGGGCAGGGCTCCGGTGCACAGGGATTGGGTGTCGGAAGGGGGTCGGGGGTCCTGAGCTCCGTCATCCTCCCGCCACCTCCTCTCCCAGCAATCTGAGCAACAACAAGGTATCAGAAATCGAAGACGGGGCCTTCGAGGGCGCTGCCTCTGTGAGCGAGCTGCACCTGACCGCCAACCAGCTGGAGTCCATCCGGAGTGGCATGTTCCGCGGCCTGGACGGCCTGAGGACCTTGTGAGTGTGTGGGCCGGGAGAGGGTGGTGGCGGGACTTCTGTAGGGACTTCGGTAGGCAAAAGCCAGAGAGCGGGTGTCTGCATTAAAGGGAAAGGAGAAGAGGGTGGGAGGCCCCCTCCCCCTGGCCCCAGTTCGCAGGAGGAGGGGCAGCTGAAGAGCCTGACGGCAGTGGCCAAGTAATCAGATGTTGGTGACTGTGGTGAGGCCTGTGTCTTGTTCCCTGGGCTGCGGGGCCGGTGCCTGGTGAAGGGGTGGAGGGAGGCGGGCCTTCCAGAGGTCCCCTCTCCTTGCCCTGTGGTCAGGCTGCAGGAGCACACACAGCACGTGTGTTCCATTTGGGAGCACCGGCTCGACGGCAGGCAGGAGAGGCTGGTGGCCCCAGGGCAGGACATCGCAGAGGAGACGCCATGGGTGTAGGTTGGCGAGCAGTGACGGCCCACCATTTTGGGGATGCTGGGGTCCCTTGAGCCCAGAGCCCACCAGAGCTAACCAGACATCAGACCCAGTGGGGTCCCGGGTCACCTGCCCCTCCTCTAACGGTGCAGTGGGCCACCCTGCCCAGGCAGCGCCGGCTCCTCAGTGGTCATGCGGACCTTTAGTGTGTCCAGTAGACAGTGCTGTCCAGTCGGACTTCCCACTGTGACGGAAATGTCCCTCGTCTGCACTGCCCAGCACCATGGCCCCCAGTGGCTGTGGAGTACTTGGCGTGTGGCTAGTGCTGCTGAGGCACTAAATTTTAAATTTCATTTCCTGTTATTTTGGATTTTATTTCCTGTGTATGTATATGTATATGTATATTTTTCTATTGATTTCAGAGAGGAAGGGAGAGGGAGAGAGAAATAGAAACATCAATGATGAGAGAGAATCATAGATCAGCTGCCTCCTGCATGCCCCCCCCCCCCCCCCACACACACACACACGCACTGGGGATCAAGCCCGCAATCCTTGACTGGAATTAAACCCAGGACCTCAGTCTGCAGTCCGACGACGCTCTAGCCACTGAGCCAAACCAGCCAGGGAAAAATTTCATTTCCTTTCAATTGATTGAAATCTAAACAGCAGCCTGTGGCGAGTAGCTACTGTGTTGGGCACGGTCTAGAAGCCCTGCCTGGCTTTGCAGCCGGCCCTGCAGCAGGCTCCAGCTTTGTTTCTGAGCTCCCGTGGAGGTTGGGTGAGGTCCGTGAGTGTAGGAAGGACTCTCTGGGGATTTTTTTTCCATTTTACAAAAAGTGGATTTTATTATTTGCCGAGTTTTGCAGTTTACTTGTTCCCTTGTGACAGTGTGGCCACTTTGCCAGGCTGTGTACCTTGTATTTCTTGAGTGAGGGTGCCGAGCAGTCCCTGGGGTCCTTTCTGAGGAAGACTTGGGTGGGGACAGAGGAGAGGGGAGGGCTGGCGCTGGGACAGAGCAGAAACGCCGTAGGCCCTCCACCCTGCAGAAACAATGTGTATGCCTGCATACACATGCACACACACACCCACATGCGTGCATGCATACAGACAGACTTTTTCATGGATCCTATAGTACGTTTTCTTTTGTAACCTGCTTTTTCCTGAAACACAACATGAGCACCTTTACAACTCATTAAAATGTCTTTTACAGCATCACTTTGAATGCTATTGGAAATTTAGACTATTTCTGATGTTTAAATGTAAGCAATGGTGTGATCGGTATATTTGTGATGCAGTTCTGTGCCCACCCAGGATTATTCCCTTGGGAGGAATCCCTGAACGCAGACTTGCTGGGCGAGAGCACACAGTGCCCTTCCCGGGAGGTCCCACGTCGTTCTCCGCCAGCCAGGTGTGGAAGTGCCCAGTCGCCCACACCCCTGCTGACCCTGGGCAGCATCATTATTATTATTATGTTTTTATTTGTAGTTTGGCAGGCAAAGATGTAATATCGCTAAAATGTCTTTGATTACTATTAAGTTTGAACATTGTTTGTGACTGCTCATAAACCATTTTAATTTCTTTTGGGAATTGCCTATCCTGTGTGAGGCTGGGTTTCGTTTTTGCTTGGGGAGGAAAACTGAGGCAGGTTTATCTGAACAGAAACTTTTACAGATATAAACGAGGAGGGAGGTCATTGTAGGTGGAAATCCTAGCCAGGGACGGCAGGGCGGTGCGGGCCTGGGCAGCAGGTCTGCAGGACAAAGGAGTGGACAGTGTGTCGCTCTCCAGGGGGCAGGCAGGTGCTGGTGTGGGGCAGGTTGGACAGGCTCCAGAGGTCTATGGACATGCAAACGAGCAAAGCATATATATATATATAAAACCCTAAGCAACTGTTAAGACCAAACGACCAAATGGTCGACGGGTCACTATCATGCGCACTGACCACCAGGGAGCAGATGCTGAATGTCCCCTGGTGGTCAGTGCACTCCCACAGCCAACCTCCTGTGGCCCCTCCCCCCCAGCCAACAGCCCCGATTGGCCCTTCCCCCCCCCTGGCTGGCCAGCCCTGATCACCCCGATAAGGACTGAGCGAGATAGTCCCAATTGGCCCCGATCGCCAGCCAGGCTGAGCCCGCCCCCCCCCCCCCCCCGCGTGAATTCGTGCACCGGGCCTCTAGTTTAAACATAATTCTGTGGGCAGTATGGAGGCCGCTGAGGGCTTTGGCTGAAGAGGGACACGACTGGGTTAGGTTTGAGGAAAGTCTCTCTGGTGTTGAGCTGGAGCATGGCCTGGAAGCGAGGGAGGCACTGGGCACCCAGGGAGTGAAGGAGAGGGCTGCAGTGAGGCCATATGGGCCAGAGGCAGAGGAGGGCACTGCTGAGGTGGAGGGTCTGGAGGGGGCACAGGTGTGAAGGGTTCAGGTGCTGGAGCTCAGTGCCTCCCAGGGAGAATCTGTGAACTCGCTGGTGGTGGCCAATGCACCTCTCGGGCGGATGGCCACAGGGCACAGCGTGGGCTCTCCCCCACCCGCCCCAGGATGCTGAGGAACAATCGCATCAGCTGCATCCACAACGACAGCTTCACGGGCCTGCGCAACGTCCGCCTCCTCTCGCTTTACGACAACCAGATCGCCACCATCTCCCCCGGAGCCTTCGACACCCTGCAGGCCCTCTCCACGCTGTAAGTCCAGCCCTCCGCTCAGCGCAGCCCTCATGGGCAGGGCTCTGGCATCAGCATCTGCACCTGGGAACCCCGCCCACCCGCCCTCCCAGGGCATGTCTCCCTGTTGGTTACTTTAAAGGACAAACTCAGGGGATGTGTGGTCCCCGGGGTGTGTTGAAACCTGGGGCTCACCAGGCTGGAGTGCTGCCCTGGGCGAGTGGTTGGCTGGGTGTCTGGGGGAGTGTGGGTGGCTGTGTGAACAGTGCGTGGGGGGCAGCAGAGGGCTTTGCTGGGGTCGCCGAGACAGGCGGGTGTCTGCGTGGTCACACGAGCCGTCTCTTCCAGAAACCTCCTGGCCAATCCTTTCAACTGCAACTGCCGGCTGGCCTGGCTGGGCGACTGGCTGCGGAAGCGGAAGATCGTGACCGGGAACCCGAGGTGCCAGAACCCAGACTTCCTGCGGCAGATTCCCCTGCAGGACGTGGCCTTCCCTGACTTCAGGTGTGAGGAAGGTAACTCGGATGCCCCCCCCCCCCCCCCCCCCCCCCCCCGCCAGGAGGCAGGAGAGGGAGAGCTGGGCCAGGCCAGAGGGAGGGGAGTGGCGGGCAGCGCCCTGTGACAGGCCCTTGAGTGGAGAGGCCGGTGGGGGGCAGGCTCTGTTGATGGGGAGGAGCAAGGAGCAGGGAGGCAGCTCTCAGTGCTGCACCCACCCTACCCCTGCCTGGTGGTGGTGTATGATATAAGAGCAATAATATGCTTATTGTTTTAAAATGGGGAAATATGGATAATAAAAAAGAAAGTAAACTTACCAATTATCTGACTTTCAGAGAAAGTTCCACTTAACAAGTTAGTGGATTTTCCTGATATAAGTACATTTAACCCCGAGGCCTGCCCCCGGCTGCTCCAGGTGCTGCAGGCTTACGGGTTCACTCTGTCCGGCACAGACAATGGGCACGGAGCCCGCCTAACTGTCGCCAGACGCGAGCTAGTTCGTTAACCTCCCCAAACCTCGTCCCACGGACCTACTGGGAGGGCGCCTGTGTGCCAGGCCCCGCTCTGGGTACTAGGCTCCTTCAGTGAGCAAAGAAGAGACACGTCTCTGTCCTCACATCCTAGGGGTGAGAGTGGCACCCCTTACTGCACTGCTAAGGAGACTGTTCGATAGTGTCTAGCGCATAGTGGGTGCTCAAGAAAACGTGGCTGCCACCCTCTTCTCTGCTGTGTCCAGGGCCACCTTGGGTCCGAAGTAGAAGAGATCGATCCAAGACCTGTATTAACCTCACAACAGGTCCAAGGGGCTTTGTCCCTGGTGGGGGAGGGGCACAGCCAAGAGGAGACTTATGGCTCCTGAGGGAGGGTCCGAGAGGGGCTTCTGTTCTGAGGCTCCCCACAGAGGGCCCTGGATACAGGAGGCACTACGAAGGCCTGCCCTCTTAGCTGACGTGGCTTCTTCTCCAGGCCAGGAGGAGGGGAGCTGCCTGCCCCGCCCACAGTGCCCCCAGGAATGCGCCTGCCTGGACACCGTGGTCCGATGCAGCAACAAGCACCTCCAGGGCCTGCCCAAGGGCATCCCCAAGAACGTCACAGAACTGTGAGTAGGAGAAGGTGCCGGGGCAGATATCAGCTGACTAGCGCCTGGAGTTAGGGCCTTGCAGCGACACTGGTTCCCAGAAGCCTTTGAGCTTTGCTTTGACCCCCCTCTGCAGCCCCCCATGGCGTGAGTCACCCGTGGCAAGCGCTTCATTCCTTTAAGTTAAGCTCTGCCTTTAAAAGAAGAAATAACATTAATTTTTTTCGCTTTACATCATCTCATGAGCACTCTGCAATGAAAACTTCCACAAAAGCGATTTTTTACTGGCTGCATAATATTCCATCACATGACTCTATGATGAACTGTATAACAGATCCCTCTTTGTTGGATATTTAAATTGTCTCCATTTTTCTACTGTCATGAATAACGCCGAGATGAGTGTCCCTTCGGTGAAGAGGTTAGCCAAAGAACGGTGTATTGTCAGGGCTCCCGCTGCCTTTGACGGCCTTCCAGAAAAGTTGTTTCCTTCCTACTCCCGCTAGCCGTGTTGGCGATGGCCCGCCTGCCCTCCCATCAGCACTGGGTGTGTGGTGGACGTCCGGTTTGGTATTTGAACTCTTGTGGGCGAGGATGGGAGTGGCAGGCCCGGCTTCTTCAACAGGCACTTCCCAGTGGAAGGCTCTGGTCAACCCCCAGCTCTACCTGTCCCCTGGGATTGGTCCCTCCAGGCCTCCGTAGCCGAGCTTTTCTCCATGGGGAGAGCATGAAATTTTCATTTTATTCTTCCATTACCAACAAGGCTATTTCTTCACACACACACACATCAACCACTGCAGTCCTTGTCCAGTGACTCGCCCACCTCATCGCCTGCCGTTTTCTGTTCCAGCGTCAGAATCCCAGTTTTCTGCTTGGTGTCTCATAGCAACTCTAAGGATGCTGGGAAAGCCACTTGACTTTTCTTGGTCTCGGTTTCCCAGATGTAAAATGGGGCTACTTGGTGTATTGAAGGGCTGCTGAGCAGAACCAGTGGGATGGGGGTGAGGGGTGGGGGTGGGAAGTCACTTTGTGTGACAACAGAGTGATGGGTCAGGGCGAGGACAGCACTGATGTTGCTACTCCTGAAGCTGGAGCCGTCCTGAGGGCTGCAGTTGGTGAGAGTCCTGTGCAGGGAGCCGCGCTGGGGCGTCAGCAGCTGGCACTTGGGTCACTGCTTAGCAAGGATGGCTGGTGGCAGTGATGGTGGGGGAAGGAGGGCAGGCCTGAAGCTCCTTGAATCCCAAGCTCTACGCTTTGGAGAAGTTTTAGGAGAATTTTGGATGGGCGTGGCTTTATGGACTCTGACTTGAGTGGCAATGCATAGAGTGGGTCCCAGAAGGTTAGCAGGACAGGAGGCAGCTTCCCAGGAGCCCAGGATTGAACACTGGCAGTGCCCACAGGGGAGGAGGCTGAGAGGGCGAGACAGGGGAGCAGAAAGGGAGCCAAAGGAGGCTTCATGTCTCAGTGGCTTTTACCAAGTTTTTTGGGTGGCACCTGCCCGAAACGCCTAAAAGCTTTATGTATTTTCTCCCCCAGTTAGCGATTCGGGGCCGTTGGTGGTCTACCAGAAGGAGAGAACGCTAGCGAGGTGGCCCTGGCTGCAGGGAGCGGTTCTCCCAGCCTGGGGCAGGTGGAGATGGTGCACTAACTGTTGTGTTTTCTCCTGTAGCTACTTGGACGGGAACCAGTTCACGCTGGTTCCGGGACAGCTGTCCACCTACAAGTACCTGCAGCTTGTGTGAGTATCCAGGCGACTTGAGGACCCCAGACCTGCCCCAGAGGACAGGAGGGCCATCAGCATCTGACCCTGGTGGCTCCAGTTTTACTGGAATTCCCCACTGGCCCCACTTGTGTTGATTCTGTTTTTGTTTTTTGTTTTTGTTTTTGTTTAATTTTCACCCTTTCCCTCTGGGAACATCTGTGCATAGAGCTGTTCTTCCACCTAGTGGTCATGCCTTGGAATTGCATTGTTCCACACCGTCTCCCCAAACGGCCTTCTAGGCTGATAATTATTGTTAATGCTGGTCAGCTTTGCAAAGGCAGGAGGCAGGGCAGATGTAGAGGGCTATGGGAAATTTCTCAGTCCAACCTAAGCCCCCAAGCCAAATATGGAATATGGGTGCTACAAATAAGTATCTGTAACTAAATTTTTCTTGAGACTAACATGAGCTTTTCTGTTTTGACCTCATGAAAAAATACAAAATAAACCTCAGGCTCTAGAGCAGTGGTTCTCAACCTTGGCTGCACATTAGAATCACCTGGGAAGCTTTTTAAAATCCTGATTTCTGGGTTGAGAACCACTGCTCTAGAGGGTTCGGCTCAGTGCATAGAGCGTCGGCCTGTGGACCAAAGGGTCCTGGGTTCGATTCCAGTCAAGGGCATGTACCTCGCTTGCAGGCTTCTCCCGGGCCTGGGCCCTGGTCAGGGCGTGTGCAGGAGGCAGCCAATCGATGTGTTTCTCTCACATTGATGTTTCTTTCTGTCTTTCCCTCTCTCTTCCATTCTCTCTGAAAATCAATGGGAAAATATCCTCAGGTGAGGATAAAAAACAAGAAAAAAATAAACCTCAGAATAAATTAGCTCTTCTTAGCCTCCCAGCCTAATTAACACCTCCCTTCAGTTGCCTTTATCTGCTCATCGGCCAGATTCTACCAAAAAATAAGTCCAGAGAATGCTCCATCTTACTGTGGCTTGGAGCAGCGCTACGCCAAGTGTGTCTGTGGGCCAGCAGCAGCCCAAGGACTGCTTGTACTAGGTCCACACTCCATAAGGGACTTGCACCGAATGTGACCCACATTTTGCTTCCTTCGTTGAGGAAGTCTCGCTATGAAGAACATGTTAGCTGCAGTTAGTTGTGTTTAGTGACCTAGGACAGTGATGCGAACCTTTTGAGCTTGGCGTGTCAGCATTTTGAAAAACCCTAACTTAACTCTGGTGCCGTGTCACATATAGAAATTTTTTGATATTTGCAACCATAGTAAAACAAAGACTTATATTTTTGATATTTATTTTATATATTTAAATGCCATTTAACAAAGAAAAATCAACCAAAAAAATGAGTTCGCGTGTCACCTCTGACACATGTGTCATAGGTTCGCCATCACTGTCCTAGGAGGTCACATTTTGGCACAAGTTCCTTGTATGGAATATTTGGTTCAAGGACTGACTACTTAGAGCAGCACTGGCTTAAAGATTTAAAAAAATATATTTTTATTGATTTCAGAGAGGAAGGGAGAGGGAGAGAGAGGGAGAAACATCGGTGATGAGAGCGAATCATTGATCGGCTGCCTCCTGCACGCCCCACACTGGGAATCGACCCTGCAACCCAGGCCTGTGCCCTGACCAGGAATTGAACTGTGACGTGACCTCCTGGTTCAAAGGTCGGTGCTGAACCACTGAGCCACGCTGGCTGGGTGACTTACAGAATTTTGACAGTTTATCTGTCTTTGCTCACAATTGTAGCAAATGCGTTTTGACTGTTCCAATGTGTGTGTGGTGGGGAGGGGCAGGAGTAAGGAGGTGGGGGCAGTGATTTGGTGGCTGGTGACAGAGGGCCAAAGAGAGAGACAACCTTTCTTTGGTCTAATGCGAGGCAGCTCCCCTAGGGGCTCAGATGCACTTGAGAAGGCAAGGAGGGAAGGAGGACCCGTGTCGGGCAGTTCTTACTATGAAACCGTCTGTCGGGGGCTCTTGTCTTTTCCAGGGACCTAAGTAACAACAAGATCAGCTCCTTAAGCAACTCCTCCTTCACCAACATGAGCCAGCTGACCACTCTGTGAGTCCCAGTGGGGAGTGGGGGGAGGGTTCCCACTGTGGCGAACGAGGCTTTTCCCGGCCCAATCACTCACAGGGAGTGTGTCAGGGCCTGCCAGCCGAAAACACTCCTTAAAATATTTTTTTTATTGTGAAATCCAGCATATATATGTATGAACAAGTGAAAAAAATGTAAACATACCGTTTAACAAATAATCGTAAAGCTGGCACGCATGTGTAAATACCTAAGGCAAAAGGTTAGAACACGGCTAGCACCCATAAGCCACCCTGTCCCTTCCTGGTTGTTAGCTCTCCCTTCTCCACTCAGGGTAGCCCTGACCCTGACTAATTTACGATGATCACATCTTTGGTGTTTATGGTGTTGCCATCTAGAAATTCTTTTCTACGCAATGAACTTTAATTTTGCCCACGTTTAGCCTTATATACATTGCAACCTACAGAATATATACGTTTACTTACCATGATGTTTGTGAGACCCACTTGGGTTGTGTGACGCTGTGGTCTGCTCATTGTCACTGCTGTATAGGATTCCTCGTAGGAAAATGCCATGCTTGCCTCACCCATTCCACTGTCGATGGATATTTGGGTTGTTTCCAGTTTGTACTGTTGTGAACAGTGACCCTCTGAACATGTTTGTGCCCATAATATAATGATTGTTTTAATTTCATTCCAAGAAAGCGTTAACAAGCATCCCTTATATTTGCCTGGCGCTTAAGAGTGTATCTCAGTTTGCCGATAATGCGCCCAAACTTCTGAACTTTCCCTTCGGTTCTCCTGCGGCCACACAGGAGAGCCAGGACGGGGTCCTGAGCAGAATAGGGACCGAGGCCTCGACGTACAGGTTCCCCCACCACACTCACTGGCCCCAGGGTCTGCTTACTGGTCATGTTCCCTGTTCAGAGTCTTCACGAGCCTGTGTGTGAAGCCGCCATGGTCTAGGGGTCTCTACCAGGGCCGACTCTGCCCTCCAGGGACATTTGGCAGTGCCTGAAACATCTCGATGTCACAGCTAGAGGAAGGCAGGGGGAGCTCCTGGTATCGCATGGGCAGAGGCCAGGGGTGCATCCCTCCATGCCCAGGACAGCCCCCAAACAAAGAACTGTCCACAGTGCTGAGGCTGGGCAGTGCTGGTCCGAGTGACCTGCTGCTGCAGGGGAAACAGCCGGCTCCTGGGATAGGAGCGGCTCCCTCCTCTATTATTTGAAACACAGCTTCATTGAGGCACAATTAATATACAGACACCTGCACATACTTTATTGTATCATTTGATGCATTTTGACTTACACTCACACCCACGGAGCCGCTGCCACAATCAAGATTGTGACCACTTCTGTCACCCCCAGAAGTCTCCTCGCGGCCCCTGATAATCCTCCCTCCCCTCCCAGCCCCGCAGCCCAGGCGAACACCAATGCTTTTTCTTTGCCCCCCTCTTCCTCCCTCCCTCCCCCTTCCCTTCCCCCAGGATCCTCAGCTACAACGCCCTCCAGTGCATCCCTCCGCTGGCCTTCCAGGGGCTGCGCTCCCTGCGTCTGCTGTAAGTCTCCCGCTTCATTCCTCCAGGGAAATCTCCCCGCTGAGGGCCTGGCCGCCCACCCAGTGGGGAGCAATGTCCCAAGGTCTGGGGCCCCAGCAGGGCCAACTGTGTCCAAAGGTGGGGGGCCAGTCCACGCTCATTAAGCCCTGAAGGAGTCCGAGGGATGAATGGGAAAGTAGCTGAGAAATGGGGCTGCTGCCTGCCCCAAGTTGTGTTTGCAGCGTGTGTGTGTGTGTGTTTGTGTGTGTGTGTGCATCCAAGACGAGGCAGCCTCTTATTTGAACACGTCTCCTGTTCAGATGGGGAGTGTTGTAAAATTCATGAACCTTTTCTAAGAATTCCCACTGCGAGGTTTTGCCCTGTGATCAAAGCCCCTGTCACGCCTGTTATGATGGCCCCTCCTGCGTCCACGCATACGAATCCTCTGGCAGCCCCATCTGGGGCAAGGTGACATAGTTCACCCCAATGTATGGCTTGTGGACTAACTGCCTTACCCAGGAAAAGCCTACCCCTCAGGCTTCTGGCTGCTTGCATTCCATTTGCTACGTAAACAGAAATAGCGCTGAGTTATTTATGATGGAAAAAGAGAGGCCCCAGGAGGGCTGAGGGCAGGGTGGTCTGTGTGGAGATTAGGGCTCCCTCTCCGCTGCCTGTGGCCAGCAGGGCAGGCTCATCTCTGAGGTGGGGCCGTCTCCCTCACAGCACCAGGCCCCTCTCTGCAGAGGGTGGCACCACCCTCCATCCGTTCTGCAGGCTCTGTCTCCCCGTGAGTCACCACAGCCCCTTCTCTCCTCAGGTCCCTGCATGGCAATGACATCTCCACCCTCCCAGAGGGCATCTTCGCAGATGTGACCGCCCTGTCCCACCTGTAAGTAACTCCGGCCCCGGTCTGGGGGCCTCTTTGGATTTAAACAGAATTTGGATTCCAAGAAAGTCCCTGCCTCCTGAGACTATCAGAATGTGTTGCTTTCACCCTGAAACCAAGTTAGCTTGTGAACTTCAAACGCTCCCCATCGCAGACTCTGACACAGTCAGGGTTTCATCCGTCGCAACGATGGAATTTGCGAACAGTTCTTCACAAGCATCAATGCAAGTAATAGTGACCATTTGCTGGTTGCCAAGCACTCTACCTGCATGAGCTATTCTTAAAGAGCAGTGCACTCACCGTTCCTCAAAAGGCTAAACGTAGAATTACCATGTGATCCCACGATTCCATTCCTAAGTATGTACCTAAGAGAATGGACAGCAGGAACTCAGATACTTGTGCACCCAGGCTCATAGCAGCAACATTCACACAATTGCCAAAAGGCAAAAACAACCCAAGTGTCCATCAACAGATAAACGGATAAGCAAAAGGTGGTATATACGTACAATAGGATAGTACTGTATTCAGCCATAGAAAGGAAGGGTGACATATGTTGTTACAACATGGATGGAACCTTGAAGACAAGCGAAGTGAAATAATGCAGACATAGAGGACCAATGTTGCATGGCCCCACTGATCTGAATACCCAGGATAGTCCATTCATAGCTACAGAAGGGAGAATGGTGGTTGCCAGGTGCTGGGAGCAGAGGGAATGGGGAAATTTTGTTTAATGGGTACAGAGTTTCTGCTTGGGGTGATGAAACAATTTGGAACCAAATAGTGGTGATAGTTGCATAACATCGTGAATGTAACTGATGCCACTGAATTGCACACTTAAAATTATCCAAATGGCAATTTTATTTTATTTTTTTATTAGAGAGAGAGGGGAAGGGGAAGAGGGGAGAGATAGAGAGAGAAACATCAATTTGTTGTTCCACTTATTTATGCATTCATTGGTTGATTCTTGTGTGTGCCCTGACTGGGGATCGAACCTGTAACCTTGGCATATCAGGATGATGCTCTAACCAACTACCCGGCCAGGGCTTCAAATGGCAAATTCATGGTAAATGTATTTCACCACAGTAAAAAAAGTGAAGACATGAAAAAGCAGTAGCTAATTCTGGCGGTGAGGCCGGGAGCAGAGCATTCTCTCCTGGAGTCTCAGCTACAGTCTGACAAGGCAGCGTTCAGGCCTGATGGACTGTGGCTGGGACCCTGGGTGTCACTGCACCCTCTTGCTCTCCGCCCCACACCCAGGTGCCCAGGGCCTCGGGAGCCTGGGGTCCCCGGCATCTCTACTTGAGTTCATTCACTCAACAACCTCCCTGGATTTTCTCAGTTCTAAGACTGGCCTCGTACACAGTTTAATCCCTGAAATCAGAGTGTACCTTACAAGTGACTTCTGTATTTAATACGGTAATATTTCCCCACCCTGCCCAATCAGTACATCTACCAACCTTAGACTTGAGGAAGTAAAATAATAACAGTGTCATTCATTGGGTGTCCTTGGGACAAACACTTTGCTGCGTGTGACTACTTTATCTGTGCTGTGTTGTTTACTTCATGACCAGAATGAGAAGTAGGCTTTCTGCTCTGCGTCAGCTGTACAAATGTTGACAGGGACCTTCTTGGGCCCACACAGGATGCCAGCACCTCTGGGCTCAGTGGGAAGAGTGCAGTGATTGATTATTGATGTCTGCCACGGGAGTAGAATGGGTGACAGGTTCTGTCCTAGCGGGTGGGATTTGTTATTTCCATTTCACAGTCCCAGGCACTGAAAAGTTCAACAGCTTCCCTAGGTCATAAAGCTAGGAAATGACAGAGACAGGATTTGAACGTAGGTGTGTCTGATTCCAGAGCTCCTTATTTACTCTTAATTGCTTCAATAACTATGTCGTGAGTAACCACAGTGAGTCACGTGCTAAAGAATTTTCGTAAGGTCTCTGCCCTCCGTGACCATCGAAGGTGCTATTAAATGAATTCAAAGGCGGCAGTGACTAACTCCGGGGAACTCTGAGGAGCTTCACAGAGGGGATGCCACCTATGTTGCCATTGGAAAGGGACTAGGAAGTTGCCATTTGGAGAAGATGGGGAAGGACATTCCAGAAAGAGGGAACAGCATGTGCAAAGGCATGAAGGCAGGAAAGTCAATGACATATTCAGGGATGCTATGTTGTCCAGCATAGGACGTAGGGGGTTTGATTGGGTGAGGAGTGAGGAATGGGAAGAGACGAATCTAGAAAGGGACATTGGGATTCCATTGGGAAGGTCTCTGTGCCATGCTAAGGGGTTTGGACTTTATTCTATAGGCAGAAGGGAACAGTGGAAGAATTAAGTTGTAGGAAATCCTGGAAGGCCATGGTGGCCTGGGGAGGCCGGTTCGGATGGATGCGGCAGGAGGGATCCTGGCTGGAGATGGCTCCAGCGGCCAGGCCAGGACCTTGCAGTTCATTGCCCTTGATGTCTCCCATCCACAGGGGCTTGTTTCCACTTCTGTTCGGTAAATTTTGGTTGTGAGCTCATCTTTTGGAGATGCCTCTCCCCAGAGGGAACCTGTGCTCGTCTCTGCTGGGCACCAGGGTCTGCTGCTGCTCTGGGCCCACACAGCCGCCTTTGCTTACCCCTGGCCCATGGCAAGTGTCTGCTTCAGTTCTCCACCTTGCCAGGCAAGAGCTTGTCAACCATCTGGTTCCACCTTCTGAAACGCCTGCGGATTCCCCCTTTTGTGTGTCTCTTATGCTGGGGTTTAAAAGTAAAGTTGACGACCTTTCCTTTCCCCATGAAAAATGAATGATGCCTAAATATGTTCTAACCTTGTTTCCAGCTCAAAATCTAGAGGCTTTGTTCTTCAAATGGGAGGTGAACAAACAACAAACAAAACCCCAAAGCTTCTAAAACAAAATTTGAGCTCATACCTATCTGTAAATTTAGATTTTCTTTAGGAGAACATTAGGCAAGACCCACTGGCAATAAATAAACCAGCTCTGGCTGGGGTGGCTCAGTTGGTTGGGTGTCATTCCATCTACCAAGAGGTTACCGGTTGGATTCCCGGTCAAGGGCACATACCCGGGTTGTGGGCTTAATCCCCGGTGGGGTGGGTGCAGGAGGCAGCCGAATGGTGTCTCACTCTCACACCGATATTTTCTCTCCCCCCCGCCCTCTCTAAAAATCAATAAACTATTTTTTTAAAAAAAGAAACAAATAAGTAAAGATCAATTAAGCAGTAATTGTAGAACAGCGCATTGGCATTACTGATTAGATGTGTTTGTGTGAAGGAAATCTTCCATTGTTATGAAGCAACCTCATGAATAAACTCTGCCCTTTACAACCAGGGTTTCAAATGGAACTAGGCATTAGCCTGGGAAATGCGCACGTGCTTGTGTTCAGGTGTGTGCACATGCAATACTGACGGGACGTATGTGTAATGCACACAGGTGTCCACTGTCTCCTCTGTGTGGAAGAGTGGCAGCTGTTCCATAAGGATTTCTGGAGCACTTACAAGGAGTCAGGGGGTGGCACAGGGATGGCACAGACTCAACCCACTCACTCTGGGCCTCACAAAGGCCGCGTGCAGTCCGGAGGGGAGCATGCTCATGGCTCCACAGTGCCAGATGTGCCCGAGAGTTAGCATCAGAGTTCCTGTTTCCCAGAGGTGCCCTCTGTTCCCACCAGGACCCTGTTCCACACGTGGGCCTCTCCTCTGCACCCCCAGTGCGGGAGGCGTGGGTGGGCCAAGGGGGCGGTGGAGGACCGGGTCCGCCATATTTAAACCCCCTGAACTCTAGGTTAAGAGTCAGGACATGTGGCATTAGGTCCTTGTTCTGCCATCAACTTGCCGGCCATCTTGTGGCTGTGAGCACCGCCATCTTTGAACCGCCAATTCATCCTTCGGGCTTCTTTCCTCGCCCGCACAGAGGTATTTCTAACGTCCACGGTGGTTCTAACATGCCACTGCTCTGCGCTTTAATATCCTGCACATCTCCCTGCTCTGTTTTATAGTTACTTTGCAGTTAGCTCATCTTTCGTCCACTTGTCTGTCCATCTGTCCATCAGCAAATATTTACTGCGTCCGGTCCTGTGCCAGGTTCCCCAACAACATTCTTCATTTCCATAATCTGGCATTCTGTTGCCTCTAATCTGCTACACGCTGGAAAGTTAAATTTCTGAATTCATTGAGAATTTGGCATGAAAAGTAAAGGGAATGATCAAACAATGCCCATATGACAGAATGGCGAGTAGCTAATGATAATTATGACACTGTGATTTAGTATTTGATGAAAATATAGAATAAAGAAGATGGTCCCCTCTAATTTCAAAGATATACATATATAAACACAGGAAGTGGAAGGGGGGAATATATGAACATTAAATTAGTTACATTTAAGGGATAATAGATGATTCTTTTCTTTTTGAATTTGCTGTCATGCTTGTAGGCAGGCGTTCACTCAGCAAATGTGTACGACGCCTGCTGGTGTCAGGCGCAGCGGGGATGTCTGGTTCCTGCCCTCCTGGTCCCTTAGAAGGAGACAGTGATGCACACACATAAACTGCCTGGGTGGGGATGGGCTCAGGCGAAGGAGGTCCTGGAGTGTTCGTAGGCACTAAGCCCTGCAGCTGGTGCCTCTGTGAGACAGCCACAGGGAAGCTATTTTGGTCCCGGTTACGTGAACAGAAGTCCGCCAGGGTCTTGGCATGAACATACCTAATATCTACTGTTTCAACTATTTCCAAGTTACGCCAAAGATCAACAGCACAGGGTTATTTATACGTTTATTGGAGACGGACTCCACAGTCCTTGTGGATGGACGAGTGGCCTGGATGCCATCCACACCATTGCGTCTCTGCTGGGCCTGTGGCCTGGATGCCATCCACACCATTGCGTCTCTGCTGGGCCTGTGGCTCTCCACTCCCCACTGAGTTCACAGCAGTTTTTGTTGGGAAAAACTGTCCCCAGGTGAAAGTGAACTACTGCTACTGCCGAATTAGCCACAGGAACCCAGCTGTCGGATAAATTAATGCTTGAGATATTGAATTCATGTGTGGCTTGGAGTCTGCTCCATGCAGAAACAAGGAAAACAGGAATTGGTCAAGGCAGAATTTAGAGTTTTGAATAGCTTTATATTGACTGTTATTCTTTATATATATATATACTAGAGGCCCAGTGCATGAATTTCGTGCACTGGTGTGTGTGTCCCTCAGCCCAGCCTGCACCCTCTCCAATCTGGGATATCCCTCTCACAATCCGGGACTGCTGGCTCCCAACTGCTCACCTGCCTGTCTGCCTGATTGCCCTTAACCGCTTCTGCCTGCCAGCCTGATCACCCCCTAACCACTCCCCGGCCAGCCTCATCAATGCCTAATTGCTCCCCTGCCAGCCCGATCGCCCCCAACTGCCCTCTCCTGCCAGCCTGATTGGCCCCAGCTGCCCTCCCCTGCCAGCCTCGTTGCCCCTAACTGCCCTCCCCTGCCAGCCTTGTTGCCCCCAACTGCCCTCCCCTGCAGGCCTGATCCTCCCCAGCTGCCCTCCCCTGTTGGCCTGATCACCCACAACTGCCTTCCCCTGCCGGCCATCTTGTGGCTGTGAGCACTGCCATCTTTGAAGGTGTGGCAGTCAATTAGCATATTCCCTCTTTATTAGATAGGATAAGTATATTTTTATTGATCTCAGAGAGGAAGGGAGATGGAGAGATAGAAATATCAATGATGAGAATCATTGATCAGCTACCTCCTGCACGCCCCCCACTGGAGATAGACCCTGCAACCCGGACATGTGCCCTCACTGGGAATCAAACAGTGACCTTCTGGATCATAGGTCAACCACTGAGCCACACCGGCTGGGCTTGACTATTATTATTTATTATTATTTTTATATTAATAGTCAAAAAGGGACACATATTTGAGGTGCAAGTTTGCTGCCATTATTGGGGGGGAACATCTGTGGGAATTAGGATGATCCTACCACAGGTCAAGGGCCTCAGATTCAGTCTTTTTGGCGTTTTCTGTAACTGAGCTATGGGACTGAAAGAAGAAGCCATTCCTAATAACTTTGAAACTCGTGGCTCATTACCAGACCGTACTCCCACAGCGTGCGGCAAAACATAGTTTAAAATAAATGTATCTTAGGAATAACATCATTACACTTCTTTGCACTTGTTGTGTTAAACATTAGTGTGGTAAATGCAAACCTCTTCAGTAAACCATGATTTTTGCACTCCTGTTATTTAGGAAGGTATTTTTTAAAACACACTGGACCTTCAAAACTCAGTGTCGGAGTTCCCCCTCCCTCTGAGAAGCCCTAGCTCTGTTCAGCGGAAAGAGGAACGTGCCTCCTGTCCCATTAGTCAGGATGGATGCTGTCAGCAACGCAGGACAGAAAAGAATTAAATGCTCGTCGAGGTTGAACTGGCTTTCATTTCCAAGCTGCGTCACTCCCTCGGCGCCCATCGCAGGTTCTATGTGCTTGTCTTTTCCCCTCTCCAGACTGCAGGCTCTTTATCGAATCATAAAGTGAGCCCCAGAGATGTGAAGCCAGCCCTCAAGGTCGCCGGGCAGCGAGCAGCTGCCGGCCGGAGTCCACGCCTGGCTCAGCCGGCTTTTTAAGACGCACAGTCAGCAGATGTGCTATTTTGGGGAATTCCTGCTCAGAGTCGCTGCTGCTTTCGTCAGACCGCACACATCTCAGGGGGAGCCACCTCTTCTGTATCGCCCAGAAACAGGTGGAAAATGGCAGGGCCTTCCCATTGGTTAGGTCAGTGGTCGGCAAACCACGGCTCGCGAGCCACATGCGGCTCTTTGGCCCCTTCAGTGTGGCTCTTCCACAAAATACCACGTGCGGGCGCGCACGTACAGTGCGAAATTGACTTAAAACTTTAAGTAAAGTTTATTAAGTTAATTTTAGGGAACGTTGTGGAGTGAGAGAAGATGTAGTGTCGAGGATTGAGAAAGGTATGTTGAGGTGGTTTGGACATAGAGAGAGGATGAACGAAAGGAGGTAGACAAAACAAGGATACAAGACGAGTGTGGATGGGAGAGTTGGAAGGGGTCGACCTCAGTGAACGTACCTCAATCAGATTGAGGACGTTTTTAGCAAAGGCCAGCGTAGGAGTACCCTAATTAGGTTAATAACAATGTACCTACCTATATAGTTTAAGTTTAAAAAATTTGGCTCTCAAAAGAAATTTCAGTCGTTGTACTGTTGATATTTGGCTCTGTTGACTAATGAGTTTGCCGACCACTGGGTTAGGTAATAGGTGCTCATTCCCATCAACCTTCTGCAGCCTCAGATTTTCAAAATCACGCTGATGTCAACGAACGTCGGGCACGGAGCGTGATGCTTTTCTTTTTGCCGGATCAAAGACCTCGGGCCCCTGCATGTTCCCGGCGCCGTGTCGCGCTCATCTCTTCGTCTCACTGTGGTCCAGTGAGGAGAGTATGAGCCTGCCCACCAGCTTGTCAAAACATGAAGAGGTTGGCGGCTGCAGCGTTGGGGCGGGGCCGTCGGGGGCAGGCGTGGCTTTACAGTGTTGGTGTCTGCGAGTCCGTACGACCTGCTTTGGAGGGCAGCTGTTCATTTTATTTTATTTTACATGCACTTCCTCTGCAACCTGAACCCTCCTCCTAGGCGTCTGATCTAGAGAAAGGCTCACTTCGCCGAGAGGCACGTACAAGAGAGCTGCCGGCCGGCCGGCGGGAACGGCCAGGGAGCCTGGCACAGGGGCATGGCTCAGTCAGCCCGGAGGCTCCATTCTTTGGGATGCTGTGAAGCGGTTTGGCAAAATGGGATGGATTCATCTTCGCCGACCGGGAAAGCTCTCCAGGACGTGCTGCTGTTCAGGGGCAAGAAGCGGGCTGCTCAGGAAGGCCGCCGGGCGGGTGGTGTGTCTGTGATGGGATGTGTGTGAATAGGGGGACGGACCGGAAAGCTACACGCTGGAGCGGGGTGACCAGTGCCCTCCTGCGGTCGGCAGGGACCGTGGAGTAGACTGTTTTGTGACGTGGATGCAGGTTTATTTAAGCACAGGATGAACAGTCTTCCGATTACAAACAGTGCTGCAGCCGGCACCATGGCACAGACGTCTGCACGCCCTTGTGCAGGTAAATCTGGGAGGAAAACTCCCAGGAACAGAATTGCCGGGTCAAACGGCAGCTGCACTGTAACCGACAGATACGCACAGAATTCCTCTCGTCAGTGTTATTCCATTTTGCACTCCCTCCGTGACGTCAGTATGTGCCTTTAAAAAAAAATCCAGTAAAATTCATGTAACGTAAATTCACCATTTTACTGTGTACAATTCAGTGGCATTTGGCGCCTTCACAATGTTGTGTGAGGCAGAGACTGTGGTCTGCAATGTCTGAAGGAGGTTTACAATGGGAGTGCATTCGTGAGCTCCTTGTTTGGTTAAAAATGAAAAGGAAAACTAAAGAGTATGAGCTTCAGAGTCAGACAGTCTGGGTCTGGACCCAGGGGCGGCCCTTCGAGAGCTGTGTGACCACATGAGGCCCAGTTCCCGCATCTGTGAGACGGAGAAAAGCCCGCACGGCGGGGCCAGTGAGAGGGTTCGAGGCAGTACCACCTCCCCCCTTTCTCTGTGCAGCCGTAGGCAGGGGCCTCCACCTTTTTGAGCCTCAGTTTCAACGGTTAGCACACGTGGAGGACTTGAAACTGGTGACACAGTACATGATGGTGAAAGTAGGGCTTTTGCCAGCGCCTGGGGGGGTGCCCTGCACCCTAGGTGCCCAGGGACGAAGGACCCCACGAAGCTGTAATGCGTTTCTCTCCGCTCTCTGACCCAGGGCCATTGGTGCCAACCCCCTGCACTGTGACTGCCACCTCCGCTGGCTGTCCAGCTGGGTGAAGACAGGCTACAAGGAACCAGGCATTGCCCGCTGCGCTGGGCCCCCAGACATGGAGGGCAAGCTGCTCCTCACCACTCCTGCCAAGAAGTTTGAATGCCAAGGTGAGCCGAGGAAGGGGTGGAGGGTGGCGGGCGCGTCCCCACCTCCCACTGCTGGCTGACCTGCTTCACCCTGGCTGGGCCTTCTGAGCCGTGGTGGGTGCCTGGCTGGGGGAGTGGTCAGGCGGCAGCAACGAGGCACCTGCAGCTGGTTAACGTGGCTGCCTTCTATCCCGACATAACAGTGAAGGAAGAAGCCAGGCAGAAAATCTCGGCGGTTAGGGCTTGACTCCCTCCGGGGGTTATGTAAGGAAAGTAAAAATAGCGATGGCATTTCTGGAAGCGTCAAGCCTCTCAGCACTGCAAGCACTCGGGCCTCCCTTCGGTAGGAATTGGCTCAGCAATTTGCTTAAACCCTGAGCCGCCGGACCCAGCTGCCCCTCTCCTGATGTTTGTAGAGACACAGGGATCAAGGCTCCTCCGGCTTTGCTCTGAAGGCGCCTCACCTGGGCATCTGTAAATGCTCCTTCGTTCGGGGCCTGATGGACTGACTGACAGCCCGAGCCCCAGGAGCCCTGCTGAGCAGAGGGAGTTGCTGCGTGGCTGCCCCGGGCCCAGCTTTGTGCACTGGGGACAGCTGGGGAGGCGGGGGGTGCACACTAGAGGCCGGCCCTGGGGCAGGGCCCTGCCCTCCGCAAGCTTGTAGACCCCCATCGGAAGGGAAAGTGACAGCCGTAGGTTAATGAGGCGGCCGGCCACCCTGCGTGCAGGATGCTGTCACAGGGGTAACCGTTCCCAGGGCCCGATATGGGTTTAGCTGTTGAGCTGTTGGGAGCAGGCCAACTCATGTTGAAACGTTTGCTCAGGATTTATTTAGCTGGGGGTGTTGGTACTGGTGAGAAGTTATTTTTTTTTTTAAACATTTTTATTGAAATACAACGTGCATAACAGGACAGCACACAGATCGTAAGTGAATGGCTCGCTGGATTCTCACAAACTGAGCGCACGCAGGTAACCAGCCCCCGGATCAAGAAGCAGAGTCCCACCTGCACCCGAGAAGCCCCCGCCCCCGTCCAGTTACCGAGCCGTGTTTCTGTCCTGTTCACGCTCGTGCCTTTGAGCAGCGCTGAGAGCTCACCACTTCCAGAGGCGTCTTCGGTGGGAAACTAGCGGGCTGCTCCTCCCGATTATTCTTGTGAGGGCCTAATGCCCCCGCAGGAGGTGCTCCTCGCCCACCTCCAAGTTCAGGGAGGGCGACCAGTGAGTCCTGGAGGGCTGGCAAGGCCGTGCTCGGACCTGGAGAGGTGGTGGGAAGCGGCCCTTCCGCTTTGGCCTCGGAGACAATCAGCTTCACTGTGCTCCTCAGCGTGGCCTCCTCGTGGAGCCGCGTGGCTCCCTGTGGAGGGCACCCCCTTGCTTTCCTGGTTAGCAGGTGACAGGCCTGGGGGTGGCTGCCTCAGAGGGTGTAGGGGACCCCGAGAAGGTCATCGGACTTCAGTAGTAGCGACTATAGCCCCTCACACAGATGCCTACCTGACCACCGTGCGAGGGCTCCTGAGGCGGCCACACCAGCCATTTAGCACTTTCTGCGGATTAGCTCATCTAGTCCTTATGGCCCCATGGGGCGGGGGCTGTTATTAACCCCATTTTACAGAGGAGGAGAGGCTAGTGGTGGTGGTGGGGCTGTGAAAGGAGGATGAACGGGACTCAGAGGAAATGGCAACCATTTCTTGGGGAGAGGGCTTCCCACCTTCCATCTCTGAAGGGCTGGGAGTACGGAGCAGGGAGCTGGGGCCTCCCCGCCTCCTCCTTATAGGAACCTCCTCCCCTGGCCTCAGGTCCCCCCACTCTGGCTGTCCAGGCCAAGTGTGATCCCTGCTTGTCCAGCCCGTGCCAGAACCAGGGCAGCTGCCATAACGACCCCCTTCAAGGGTACAGGTGTGCCTGCTCCAGCGGCTATAAGGTGAGTGGAGGCTTGAGTGGCGGCTGGGCCCGGGAGGAGGAGGGCTGCTCCTGGAGAGCAGGGTGGCCTGTCGTGTTCCCCATCTGCCCCCGGTGCCCTGAGAGCAGGTCCTGCCCAGGGCTGCGCTTGAAGGAACGAATGAACAAGTAACACCTGGGACAGGCAGGCCGCGCTGCCGAGGGGTGGCCGTCTGTCGGCTCCCCATCCCTGACTCTCTCCCCAGGGCCGAGACTGTGAGGTGCCCCTGGACAGCTGTGCCAGTGGCCCCTGTGAGAACGGCGGGACCTGCCAGGAACAGGAGGGCGAGGATGCTGGCTTCACGTGAGTTGCCTGGAGGAGCCAGAACCTGGGGGGCGGGTGCCGACGGGACCCAGCACCCATGCTTCGCCACCCTCCTCCTCCACATCAAGTGGCCACCCCGCCCATCCTCTGTGCTCTGGGAGGGGGTGGAGGGTGGGCGCAGCGGGAGCGAACACTCACTGGAGACAGTTCCACACCCACCAGCCATGCCCATTGCCCAGAGCAGTGGGAGCCAGCGGGGGGGGGGGGGGGGGGGGCGTCGCTGGGGCTGGAGCCAAGCTGCCCACTTCTGCTCCAGGCCACTCTCTGACCTTGCCAGGTGCCAGGACAGTCTTTTGATGGCACTGGGAATCCATGGCCAAGGACATATGCAGTGGCAGTGCCAAGGGGCAGTTTGGCGACACTTTAAACCCCTATAATCTCTGCTAACCGGAGGCCTTTAATAGAAGTCAAACACCTGCTTGTTGTGCCAATGTTGCCTGAAGCAGGGCCCTTAGCCAGCTCTTTCCAATCAAGCCACCACCCTAAGCCCCGAAGACAGAAGCCTGCCCAGAGGTGGGAGCAAATCCTGGGCCTGCCCCCTGGCGCCTCACACACCATCTCCTGGTCCCGCTGGTTCCACACGGCAGCCAGTTTCCCACGGCTCTCGGTGAAGGGCGACCCTCCCTCAGGATCGAATCCCAAGCTCTCCCGGTGCTGATGTTACCATGCAAGCACCCCTCCCCCCACTGACCCACTTCCCCCAGGACCCCTCAGTGCATACCCTGAGCTCTCCTGGACCCAGAGCTTTTCTGAAAAACACTTGATATTGAGTTGCTGAAAATAAATTGGCTCTGCATTTACAGGCAGAAATGGCCAAATCTGTCTCTGCAAACCCAAATTACCAGGTATAAAGGGAAAGCACTAAATGGCCTCTCAGCCATTGTTGCCTTGGCAACGGCGTCCTTACAATAGGCTCCGTCCTCCTTTGGGCTTGGGCAGCAGTTCTGCAGGGCAGTTCAAGCAAAGCAAAGCCGCCTCCTCATTCCCTGGACTCCTGGGAGGGGATGTCTGTGGAGAGTGGAGGGGCTGGAAGGACACCCACAGAAACTCCCCCTGCTGGGCAGAGAGGGGTACAGCAGGGATGGCCCCCCTCACACCTAGCAGCCCTACAGATTGGGGGCCTTTGGGTGGGCCCTCCAGGTAGAAAGGGGGTGCCTCTCTGAGTTACCCCTCAACCTTGAGGCTTACAAGAGCCTTCTCAGAAATGCAAAGCTGATCGCCTCAGCCCTCTTAAAACCCCTCTGTTGCCCCCACCCCCAACCCACCCCCATCTATGTGTGTGTGTGGGGGGTGGAGGGGGAGATTAAACTCCAGGACATGTCCCATAACTGTGGGCTTCAAACCTTTGTGCTCACATACCCCCCCAACACAATTTAAAAACTATATATATTTTCATACATTTTTAGTTGACAGCTAAAATTTGTCATTGTAAGTTTAATTTGTTGTTGTAAAGGAGGTCATTTTCAGGATATAGTAAATATTAACATTTAAAAATAAACCTATTACTCTTTTATTGTTCTCCAATGCAACCTAAATAGCACAGCAATTTTTTGTTGTAGTTAATCCTCACCTGAGGATATTTTATCCATTAATTATTAGAGTAGAAGGGAGGGAGGGAGGGAAAGAAAGAGAGAGAAGCATGGATGTGAGAGAGACACATCAATTGGTTGCCCCCACACGCTCCCTGACCCGGCCAGATCAAACCTGCCGCTTGTTGGTGTTCCAGCCAATGCTCCAACCACTGGGCAACACTCGCCAGAGCAGCATAGCAATTTACCATTAAAAACTTACACGAATGAGCTGCTCTTTTACAGTTTAAATATTTGCCTTTTCTTCTTGAACTAGTATTCCCATTTCTCTCCCCACACCCCCACCCACTTTCTTTCTAATGTAATCTGCCTTTGTGCTGGGGGAGACTTTCCTGGAGTACCCGCCATGTGTCTGCACCACCAACATGGGTATATAAGTGTAAATTTAAACTTTTCTTTATTTCTTGTGACCAACTGCCTCTGATTAAAAGTTTCCTTTGCATTGAGCTATCATGACAATGATCAATAATATACAGTCGATCAAAACAACATTACAACATTTGATTGATAGTGATTACAAATAAAAGTAGAATTTTTTAGACTCATCTCTGGGTGAGATAGAGCTTTATACATATAGCTGTAAATGCTGAGAAAGTTTGTTCTCATCAATAAACAGATGAGATTAGAAGGAGTTTTATTATAGCCATGTCACTCAAGTCTTTGAAATCCTTCCGAGTCTATATGCCAAAAAGCGCAGAGTGATATGTCATCAAAAGCTATTTTTAATGCCTATTGGCTGACAGTTCCACGAGGCCTTCCTTCAATTATTTTTAACACGTGGAGCTGGAAACTGCTTGACTTTCAGACGCCGTTTGTTCCTTCACCTTTAAAACATCAATATTCCTAATTGTCCCTTTATTTGGAGCCCCGGGATTTTAGGCCCCAGGCATGTCCCACCCTGGACTTGGGCTGGGAGGGGTGTGTGTGCTTTTGGGGAGCTCGGGGGCTGGTCAGTCCAGGGAAGAGTCCCTGCAGAGCTTGTAGGTCTGGAAGTTCATTTCTCAGACCTCTCTGACCCACAGCCCCTTGGAAAGCCCCAGGTGCCCCGGGGGAGGGTGGATCTGGTTTGGAGATCACTGGTCTCCAGTGGTCTCCACAACTTGCTCCAGCCCCATTCTCACTGGGTCCCTGAGGTGTGTGCTCCCCAAGGCCTGAACTATCGGCATGAGCAGGACCCCTCCCAAAGGGCTGGCTTTAGGGTCTTCTCCAGGCTTTTGCACATGCCCTGACCCCACTGTCTTCCCTCCCATTCCTGCACTCCCCTGTCAGGGTCCTTGATTAACCATCATCTCCTCCAGGAAGCCCACCCTGACCACTCCCCCAAGGAGGAGCTGGGTGCTGCCCCTTTGTTCCCCCTCACTGGCCTCTGCTGCACGGTCCCGATACTCACCGCCTCTCCTCTGGTTGCGTCTCCTCCTCATCTCCCTACTAAACTGTGAGGTCCATAGTGCAGGGCTGGGCTTGTTCACCTTTAACCCCCGGCATCCTGCGAGGGCCTGGCCGTGAGTAGGTACCACACCTCTGGGATGATATTGACCTGTGACCATGGGCCCACCTGCCTCCCCCTCCTCCCCTGCCCCAGGTGCTCCTGTCCGACTGGCTTTGAAGGACCGACCTGTGGGGTGAACACAGACGACTGTGTGGAGCACGCATGTGCCAATGGAGGCGTCTGTGTGGACGGCGTGGGCAGCTACACTTGCCAGTGCCCCCTGCAGTATGCGGGTATGTGGACATCGAGTGTCTGCGGGGAGGTGAGGGCTGGCGTGCATGCCCTGAGCCCCATTCCCGTGACAGTTGGGGCCCTGCCTCAGCGTCAGCAGGAGGTTTCTGCTGGTGGCTGCCTGGCAGAGCGTGGGGGGGGGGGGGGTAGGGACAGCTTCTCTCCTGCCTCTCCCTGGTTCTTTCTCCAGGAAGGGCCTGTGAGCAGCTGGTGGACTTCTGCTCCCCGGACTTGAACCCTTGTCAGCACGAGGCCCAGTGTGTGGGCACCCCGGATGGGCCTAGGTAGGTGTTGCCCATTTCCAGGGTCAGGGAAGGGCAGGGGCTGCCAAGTCACCTCCCCTCCATGCCAACCCCCTCCCCATCCTATTCCTCACCTGTCAAGTAGGTGTGGTCTCAGCCATGTGGGGTTGCTGTGAGTCAGTGTGGGGGTGGTTAAGGGGACAGCTTTGCTGCCAGCATGAGCTTGAATGGATGGCTTGCCCACTCTGAGCCTGTTTTCTCATCTGCGAGCTGGAGGCACCAGAAGCTTCCTCCTGGGGTGGTTGTAAGGAGAGGATGAGCACTTGCGCGGAAAGCACTTAGCTCCATGTCTGACCTCCCATCAATGCTCCATAAATAGCCATTGTCATTCCAGACCCTCAGTTTCTCATCCCGTTACAAAACCCACAGAACTCTGAAAACCAAAAGTCGGTTTGATAGCAAAATCAGACCTGACCTGAACGTATCCTATATAATAAAAGGGTAATATGCAAATCAACCCAATGGCAGAACAACCTGTTGCTGTGATGTGCACTGACCACCAGGGGGCAGATGCTCAACTCAGGAGCTGCCCCCCTGGTGGTCTGTGTGCTCCCACAGGGCTCAAGGCTGGGGAGCACAGTGGCAGTGGTGGGAGCCTCTCTAGCCTCCGTGGCAGTAGGACATCCCCTGAGGGCTCCCGGACTGCGAGAGGGCATAGGCTGGGCTGAGGGATTTCCCCAGTGCACGAATCTTGTGCACTGGGCCTCTAATTTGGTACAAAAGCAGAACACACAGCCCTAGCTGGTTTGGCTCAGTGGATAGATCATTGGCCTATGGACTGAAGGGTCCGGGTTCAATTTCGGTCAAGGGGATGTACCTTAGTTTCAGGTTCCATCCCATGTGGGAGGCAACCAATGTGTCTCTCTCACATCGATGTTTCTCTCTCTGTCTCTCCCCTTCCTTTCCATTCTCTCTAAAAATCAATGGAAAAATGTCCTCGGGTGAGGATTAACAAAATCAATAGAAATAAAAGCTGACCACACGCCTATTATGGGGCTACAGTCAACAGCTATCCATGTAGATTGTGCTGCAGAGCTGTGAACATGTTTGATTGAGGGGCTGCCCTCGATCCCACTGACATGTTACACAATATACAGTTGTAGGCACTGTATTACCTTTTAAAAGTCCTCCTCTTTGGCCTCAGGAAAAGGGCTTCTTGGCTGTTGTCTCCGTTGTTACTGGCATACATGGAAGTGCTTTGTCACCTCAAGACTGCATGTGATATGCAGGTCATGGGGTTTTAGGATGTTGCTCCCATCTGTAGTTTTCAAATATAGTGTCAGTTCTGGGACCCTGGTTCCACCAGTCAGGGCAGGGCTCCTTGTAGTCTGTGGCTGAGGGGCCCAACCCCAGCCACTCAGGCCAGGGTAGGGGGATGGGGTCACCATGGAGCTGAGGCCCCTGGGCAGAGGGAGAGCCAGGGGATGTTAGAGGCCTGGCTGTGAGATCGAGAGTCTACATGGGAGCTGCTGTCCAAACGGTGGGCACACTGCCTTCCCGGGTGAGCTGGCACGGAAGACGGGGTGGGATTGGCACAGAGACCAAGGAGCAGTGGCAGATCAAGAGGCATGCCCGCTCCTCAGAGGGGCCGGGCCTCAGGTGGATAAAGCGAGGCTGCACACTGTCACCCACACTGTGCTGGGGTAGTGCCTCCCACCGCACAGGTGAGCACATACAGTGGGGGAGGTCCATGTTCTCTCAACTTCCTGTTTTGGAGGAAAGATGGACAAATGCTCAGCTCATTGTACCTGGAACCCGGCAAGTATTCAGTACATTCGTTGAATGAATGCATGAATGAATGAATGAATATGAAGGAATGGGTGGTGGCTTAGGTACTGAAACAGTCTTCAGACTGCTGCTCAAGACCCAATAGTGACTTGTGATTAATGGGTAGGTCAAGGTTAACTTAAAAAATGAAACAGAAAACATCAGAGAGCATCATACCATTTTATACACTGAGGATAAGTATGATTTCAGGTGTGTGTGTGTGTGTGTGTGTGTGTGTGTGTGTGTGTGTGCTGGTAGAAGGGTATTTCTTGCAGCCTGAAAAACACTGGGAATGAGTAAAAAATCTAGGCAGGGGCACCCACCTGCCAGGTTGTTCAGTTTGCAATTTGCAGTCTGCAGTTTGGAAGAGTTTCCAGCAAAAGTTTGCTCAGTGACACCAGGGGCTTCTCAGAGGAGGTGAGGTCTTGGCCTGGCCGGAATGAGGCAGGGAGACGGGTGAGGGTATTCCAGAACCAGCAGGGGTGAAGGGAAGGGAGTGAAGGCAGGAGTGCTGGTGGTGTGGAGAAGGTCTGAGCATCTTGCAAGGGGGTGGAGGAGTGTGCCCTTTACTTGATAGGACTGGATTGGATTTTTGGCCGGAATGGATTTTGGGGTGAGCAGTGAGGCACAATGCAAGCAGGGAGCGGGAGGTTGCCTTGGAGTCAGTCACTGACAGAGAGGTGGGCACCTGCCCGGCTGGGGCCAGGAGGCTGGGCTGGTGGAGCTGGGGAAGCTGGGGTGGAGGGAAGGATGAGCCCCATGACTGGGAGCCGTGTGCTGAGCAGCTGAGTAGGTCCGGAAGGGGCCGCAGTTTGGCCCTGGATGTGCTGTTGGTGGTGAATCTGGGTCCTCCCTGACAAGATTCCCATCTCCTCCTGCTGCTGGGTGCCCACCCCCCAACCTAGAGCCCCACCAACCACACAAGCTCTCCAAAACGGCCCCAGGACAGGCGCGGCACCTTTATATCCAGGGCTCTGGTTGACCTCCCGGGGGACCCCATAGACCCACAGGGCCTCCAGGTTGTCTGTCACACACAGCTGACTGCCTACCCGCCTCTGACCTCCAGGTGTGAGTGTGCACCAGGTTACTCGGGCGACAACTGCAGCGAGAACCAGGATGACTGCAGGGACCACCGCTGCCAGAACGGGGCCCAGTGCATAGACGATGTGAACAGCTACTCCTGCCTCTGTGCCGAGGGCTACAGGTGAGAGGCCTGCACACCCGCGAGGGACCGACTCCTCTTAGACGTCGGCCTGGGGCTGGCAGGAGCCCCCAGACGTGGTTGGCGGGAGGGAGGGAGGGTGAGAGCCTGGGTGTCGGGTCCTGGCTTGAACCGTCACCCGTCACAGCTGTGTGGCCTTGGGAACGTGACTTAACCACTCAGAGCACAGGCAGCGGGTGCGTAACCTTTTTGGTGGAGGGAGTGGGCGGCGGGTACAGATCAGTGGACAGGGCCTTCTCACTTACTGCTCAGGGAGCCTCTGAAGTCACAACCTGCCATAAAGGTCACTGACATTTGCGTCTTGGCTCCTCTGGGAGGTTGGGAGAGGGGACTGACACCTGCTCTCCTTCTGACCACCCACCTCCCAGGATCTGCTTGGGGTTTTTTGTTTTTCTTTCAGTTTTATTGAGCTGTAATTCACATACACTGCAATTCATGTGACTAAGATGTGCAATTCAGTGGCTTTTAGTATATGTCCAGAGTTGTGCATTCGTTTAAGAACCATCCATTTCAGAACATTTCATTACTCCAGAAACTCCACACCTCTTACCTGTCACCCCAAGTCTCCTCCATCTCAGCTCTAGGCAACCACTAATCTGCTGGTATCTGTGTGTGTAGATTTGCTTATTCTGGACATTTCAGATAAACAGAAGTATACAGTCTGTGGTCCTTTATAACTGCCTTTCACTTAGCGTCATGTTTTTGAGGGTCATCCATGTGGTGGCAGGTGGCAGAGCTTCACTCCTTTTTATGGCTGAATAATATTCCATTGTAGGGATCTACCACTTTTGTTGATCTATCCATCTATTTGGACTGTTTACACTTTGGCTATTGTGGATACTAATGCTACAGATTGTTGTAGCCTGGATCAGAACTGCCCTTGGTAGTAATGTTCCCTCTTTTCTTTATTTTGAGTCTTCCCTCTTTTGCTTGTTTTAAATCTCAGTTTTCCTTTCTGTAAAATGAGACATGAGCAATTCTTTTTTTAAAAAAAATATATTTTATTGATTTTTTACAGAGAGGAAGGGAGAGGGATAGAGAGTTAGAAACATCAATGAGAGAGAAACATCGATCAGCTGCCTCCTGCACACCTCCCACTGGGGATGTGCCCGCAACCAAGGTACATGCCCTTGACCGGAATCGAACCTGGGACCTTTCAGTCCGCAGGCCGACGCTCTATCCACTGAGCCAAACCAGTTAGGGCGACATGAGCAATTCTTAAACTTTAACGAGCACACGAGTCACCTGGCATGGTGTGAAAGAGCAGATTCAGTAGGCTTTCCATTTCTGACACCTGCCCAGGTGACATCGATGTTGCTGGGGCAGGGACCACACTTGTTTCTCACCACCCTTCTGGCTCCTAGTTCTCTCGGGAAAAGTGTTCATTAGCAGCATTTTCTGTCGCCTTAAGGATCCAGTTTCCCACGATGTTTAGTGAGCTTCTCTCCAGGACCTGGGGGAGGAAGAGGCCTTCTTCCCTTTGCCCTGCCCTGTCTGACCTGCGTCCTTTCCCTCCCAGTGGGCAGCTCTGTGAGACCCCGCCCCGCCCAGCCGCCCCCAGGAGCCCCTGCGAGGGGGCTGAGTGCCAGAACGGGGCCCACTGCGTGGACCAGGGCAGCCGGCCCGTGTGCCAGTGCCTCCCGGGCTTCGGCGGCCCCGAGTGTGAGAAGCTGCTCAGTGTCAACTTTGTGGACCGGGACACGTACCTGCAGTTCACGGACCTGCAGAACTGGCCGCGGGCCAACATCACCCTGCAGGTGGGTGCCCAGGGCGCCGGTCACAGAGGGGAGTCCGGCGGCGGGGGGCCCTGGCCTCAGGTCAGAGATTCAAGGCACATCCCTGCCCGGGACCGTGGGGAGGCCCCTGTGTCGGTCAGAGTCTTCGGATGTGGGTGTCAGCATCTCAGCTTGAAGTCGTTTAAGCAGAATTGGAAAGGTTATTGGCATATAAATCCAATCTCAAAGAAGAGGCAGGAGGGGGAGGTGGTCTCATGGGCGACTAGATACAGAAAACCAAGCTTACCAGGACCCTGTCCCACCATCTCTTGTCTCAACGACTCCTCGCTTCACCTCCAATACGCTTTGTGTCATGTGCCTGGAGCGCGGCCAGGTTAACTCCCAGCTTATGTCTTTAACCACAAGTCCTTGTGGTCCCTTATTTTTCCATTTTATGTCTTAAACATCTACCTCCTGAGCAGTTCCTTCCAGGTTTGGGTGGCTCTGGCTGTCAGAGAGCCTTCCTGAACGTGTCCTCTCTGGAGGGGCCGCCCTGCCCCCACCCCCAAGGCAGTTCCCCGAGGCCCACAGAGCGGCTGCCCCACAGCCCGTCTGCCTTTCTTCCCGAGCAGGTGGTCTGAAGGGCTCTTACCTGCCCCTCCTGGCACGTAGTTTCCAGGCCTCAGCTGGCCCATCTGCCCTCTGCTGCCTGGCCCTGGCCACACGGTCAGTGGCTAGGATTTAAACCCGGGGCTGCCATGTCACCTGGGCAGGCAGGAGAGGGCAGTTCTGCACACAGCATCTCTTCCGATGGGGGCCCCGTGCACTCCGCCCGCCAGCCTGTGCTGCTGCTGCGGGGGATGGGGTTGGAGAGACAGTGCCCTTGCTCATCAGGTCTCCACGGCAGAGGACAACGGGATCCTGCTGTACAACGGGGACAATGACCACATCGCCGTGGAGCTGTACCAGGGCCATGTGCGTGTCAGCTACGACCCTGGCAGCTACCCCAGCTCCGCCATCTACAGGTGGGGCTTCCTCAGGCCCGTCGGCCGCTCTCAGGGGTCTCCTGGACCGAAAGCAGGTCATTAATGAAACCACCAGAACCTGGGCTGCCCGAGAAGCGAGGGCATTTGAACCATTGAGTACAGCCCAGCGTGGGTCCTTCCCCTCCCACCACCACCTCACAGGGCGCTCCTGGGTGGGAGGAGGAGACGGATTAGGTTGAAAACACCTGCCCCAAACATCTCAGCTTTCCCCAGGGAGCAGGAGAGGCTGGGCCATAGGCCCCCAGTCCCAGTCTCCCCCTGAGAGATGTGGTCCCTTGGGAAGCAGCTGCTGGACCCGTGGCAGGGTGTCCAGGAAGGGATGGGCCCAACTGAAGCGCATCCTCTGAGGTGGGGGCACCCATCTTCTTCCAGTGCTGAGACGATCAACGACGGGCAGTTCCACACTGTGGAGCTGGTCACCTTCGACCAGATGGTGAATCTCTCCATCGATGGCGGCAGTCCCATGACCATGGACAACTTCGGCAAGCACTACACACTGAACAGCGAGGCCCCCCTCTACGTGGGAGGTGAGGACCTGCTTTTCCAGGTGGGGTCCTCCTACTCTCTGGCCAGGGGCGGGGCCCAGGGCACAGGACTGTGGGGAACATCGCAGGTGGTGGGGGAGGGTTTAGTGACCGGCCAAGCTGCAGATGGACTGTGCTCCCTTGCCAGGAGCCAGGCTGCTGTCCCCCAGCTCACACTAACGAGGGAGGGGAAGTGCCTGAGTGGGGACGGAGACCTGACCCAGGCGGGGGAGGGGAGAGATGGGGCGTGCTGGAATTCCCCCCGGCTGTGCTCTACACCTTGGGCATCTTTCTTCTTGGCTTTGGGCCAGAAGGGGCTTGTTCAATGTTCAGGGTCCATCCCCAGTCTTGGGCCCTCAGAGGCCCAGAGCTGCTGCCGGAGGCCCAGGCCCAGGTCCCCGCATGAGCTGGGGATTGCCCAGCTGGCCTTCCAGGCTTTGCAGCTGTGAGTAGTGACCACAAAAGCAGGTGACAAAGTACCATACACCCAAGTTCCAGGTCCCAGTCCTTTGCTGCCTTTGGGGCCTCTGGGAGGTAAGGACAGGTGTCCCAGAGGGAAGGAAGGAACCCTGGGCGAGTGCAGCCAGACTGGGGCGCCCAGGCCTCACTGGTCAGCTGGCTGCGGCCAGGCTAGCACCCAGCCCTGGCCACGGGAAGGCAGCTTTTCCTTTTCTTTTGGGGAAGGAGTCTGCACCCTCCACGGTGGCAGAGGACCTTGGTCCAGGGTTGCAGAGACAGGACAGAGGCCATGGGCAAGAGGGAACACGGTGCAGGTGCCCACAGACCTCAGAGGGAGGTGCCGGGCACCGCCCGAGCCTGGCCAGCTCAGTCTGCCCCCTCCCCACCACCCCAGGGATGCCGGTGGACGTGAACTCGGCCGCCTTCCGCCTGTGGCAGATCCTCAACGGCACCAGCTTCCACGGGTGCATCCGAAACCTGTACATCAACAACGAGCTGCAAGACTTCACCAAGACACGGATGAAGCCGGGCGTGGTGCCGGGCTGCGAGCCCTGCCGGAAGCTCTTCTGCTTGCACGGCATCTGCCAGCCCAACGCCACCCCCGGGCCTGTGTGCCATTGCGAGGCCGGCTGGGGAGGCCTGCACTGCGACCAGCCAGCTGACGGCCCCTGTCACAGCCACAAGTGAGCCGCGCTGGGTTCAGGGAGCCCTCCCCCCTTGCCCACCTGCAGGTTCCCTTCCCTTCCTTGCAAGTTCCCATTCCCTGTGGTGAGGAAAGAGAATGGCTTTCACGCCCAAGATCAGAACACAGTGGCCTAGCAGGGTTTCATTACATTTTTCTGGGTTTTTATTTTTATGAACAGGAAAGGTCTGTAGGGACAAGCACAGACTCACATTTTGCTTCTTCGGGAAGCAAATATCTCCATCTTGGGACCAGGCTAACATCTGTGACGCCGAGGCTGAGGGTGGGGCGCCCTGGGTGGCCTTGCCTGGGCTCTGCCTGTCCTCAGAGTGTTTTTCTCTGTCTCAACAGGTGTGTCCACGGGAAGTGCGTGCCCCTCGATGCCCTTTCCTACAGCTGCCAGTGCCAAGAGGGGTACTCGGGGGCCCTGTGCAACCAGGCCGGGGCCCCCGCAGAGCCGTGTGGGGGCCTGCAGTGCCTGCACGGCCACTGCCAGGCCTTGGCCACCAAGGGGGCGCACTGTGTGTGTGACCCTGGCTTTTCAGGCGAGCTCTGTGAGCAAGGTCAGGGGCCCCCCTCCTGATGTGCCCTCTCCAGGGTCCCTCCCCACGACTGGCTTTAGCAACTTGGTTTTTTCTTCCTCTCAACCTCAGCAACCCCTCTGTGCCCCTGCCCCTTCCTGTACCTTAGGCTGCTATGGGGCTTTAGTAACCCTCCCCCCACACCCTGCTCTCTGGGCTCCAAGTCCCCCTCACACAGGGCCCCCATCTCTCCCTGGCCCAGCTTTTCCTGCAGCCCCGTATCTGGGGTGAGTGTCCCTCTGGCTGGGATTTCTCCTTACAGACGAGATCATGATAACAGCTCCTGCCCAGATCTCTGCATTGTGGCCCCATCACCTTGGGACCCCGGAGCAGCAGAAGTCTGCGGGTTGGGGACTCCTTCCCAGGCCTGGTCTGCGTGACTAAGATGCTTCTGCTGGAATGGAGAGTGCTTGCGGGGAGAGGGGGTGTCTTGAGGAATCCAGAACTCAGGCACTTTAGGGTCCCGAGGCCACACCCTCCCAGCACAAAATCCTCCTCCAACATGATTGCCTCCCAGGCCTCCAGCCTCTTGCACTCCTGCAGCCGCGGGGAGCCCCCCCCCCACCCCCCCCACCCCCCCCCCCCCCCCGGAGCCTGGCAGCGGCATCTGTGCTGGAGGCCCGGGCAGCTAGAAAGTCCCTCCTTCCCACTGACCTCATGGTGGCCCGGGAGGAAGCTGTGCATGTGCATGGTGGGCAGGGAGGGTGCTGGGGCCAAGGTGGGCTCTAAGAGCTAGAGGACCGTCCACGGACGCTGCCCTCCGCCTCCCCCCTCCCCTTGCTCCTCCTCTTCCTCCTCCTGCCTCCCAGGGGGGCAGAACTGGCCCAGAGTTGTGCCCTGAGGCTTTCTCTTGGTATCTGTCCCATCCAGAGTCCGAGTGCCGGGGGGACCCTGTCCGGGACTTTCACCAGGTCCAGAGGGGCTATGCCATCTGCCAGACCACGCGCCCGCTGTCGTGGGTGGAGTGCCGGGGCTCCTGCCCGGGCCGGGGCTGCTGCCAGGGCCTGCGGCTGAAGCGGAGGAAGTTCACCTTCGAGTGCAGCGACGGGACCTCCTTCGCTGAGGAGGTGGAGAAGCCCACCAAGTGTGGCTGTGCCCTCTGCGCATAGTGCCCAGTGCCCACGGGGAGGGGGCTGGCGAGAAGCCGGGCCACCAGGAGACCTGGGCTGGGGTCGGGCCATCGCCAGGCGGCTCCTGGATGGCTGGACCCTCTTGGGCGGGCTGAGGCCCACCTCTCAGGGGCCAGGCAGCTTTTCTCAAGCCGAACTCGAGCAGCTGGGGGCCAAGCGGGTGGGCGAGGCCTGGCTGCAGACCGCCCTCCCGGAAGTGCCTTGCACAAAGAGGCACTTAATAAATACTGTTGAATGAATATGTGCGTGAGGTCAGGCCAAGAAGTGCAGAATGGTGACACTCCCTCCTTGCCTGCGACCTGGCTCTGAAGAAGGGACTGCCCCTTCCCAACCCAGCCTGTCCCTCGTGTCTGCCGCCCATGCTGGCCCCAGAACCCCTTGCCCCCTGCAGAGAACCCTGAAGGACTCCCAGCCTGGCTCTGCTGCTTGTGGGCGGGCAGGAGGCCAGGCTGCGGAGGGGAGGGGAAGGGCCCCTCCTGCTGGCCAGGAAGGGACTGACCCTTGCCCCTGGGCTGGTTGGCAGGCAGAGCACCTCAGGAACGAGGCCTGGGGTGGAAGCCGGTCTTCGGATCAGACCTCTGAATCCTAAAGTTATGGGATGATCATTGTAGCTTCGAGGAGGGTACTCATGTGGAAGAAACGGTCACTGGAACTTCTTGGGGTGGGGGACCCCACCAGAAAGGACAGGGCGTTCTTGGTTCCAGCAGAATAGACACTGCCACCCACCTTCAGACACTAGCCACCAAAGGGGCCCTGGTCCTGGGCTTCCCCAGCCATCAGCCTGCTGCTGGCGAGCCACTCTGGGGGGGGGGGGGGGGGAGGTGCGGGCAGGGTGTAGGGGCTTGGGCGAGGCTGCTTGGCCAGGGAGGGTCTCCCCCGGAGGAGCCGGGGTCCAGAGCCCCTCACGCTGCAGACCAGCTGGGAACAGCGGCCCAGGCATCAGGAACGGCTGGCTGTCGCTCTGGCAGATTTCTCCGCCGTGGGCCTCAGTCTCCTCCGCTCTCAGATGGAGAGGTAGGATGGACGACTCAAGCAGCGGAGGCCCTGCCACTGTGGCTCCAGGAGGGAGGCCCCAGGAGGTAGAAGATCCATTTTCAGCAATTACATCGAGTATTTGTGTGCCTGACCGGGGCTGGGTTCTGCCCTCGTGGACACCTGCCGACTGATCGCCGCGCATCACAGCGGTGACCAGGGTGCCGGGGAGAGAGGGAGCCCAGCGAGGGCGCCAACCGCAGACACAGCCCGGCCGGAGCTGCTCGCCAGAGGCTTCCACAAGGAAGGACTCGTCTTCGCAGCCACTGAAGAGGGGACTGACTGCGGATGCTTCTCTTCCCCGCAGAACGACAGCGTAGAGATGTTCTTTGAGCCTAAATAGGCAGTTGGCTGGAAGGAAGACAGGCCACTCTCTGGTCCAGAGGTCTCCCCAGGACAGTGTACCCCTGGGGAATCCGGTGGGCAAGGGGGGGCACACCCTTTTCCTGGCTCCTTCCATCTGCAGACAGAAGGCAGGGGTGGGGCAGCGTGGGCAGAGTTGGGGTGGCGTGTGCCTGTGTCTGCCACCATGGTAGCTGGGGGGGGGGACGAGGGCTTTGCTGCTGAGAAGAGGGCAGGAGCCTCCTGTGACGTGGGAGCCTGGCATGGACAGGATCTGGCCAGCCAGCAAGTTTGAGTCTGGGGACCCCTATAATGGGCAGAGGACCCTCCCAAGTGGGGAGGAGCCAGCCTGGCTGGGTCTGCACCTCACCCGGCCTGGGCTCTCTCTTCCTGTAGCTCCGAGCAAGGCCACCGTGCCCTGCCCGCTGTGGACAGCAGCGTGGGCCTCGCTGCAGAGCAACCCTCTTACCTGGAGTTTCTGGGCGGCCACTGGGGGAATCTGGAGAAGAGCCAGCACCAGGCTGGGTGGCAGGAAAGTTCCAGTGCAGCTAGTTTGTTCCTTCCAGGGAACAGAGGTGTTCCCCCACCCCCAGCCCTGAGAAGCGGCCCTTCCCCTGCCACTGCCATTCCTTCCTGCCTTGGAGAAGCAGCTTCCTTGGCTCGAGGGGCCCTGACTGCAGGGGCCTACTTTGCAGAAAGTAGACAGGACGCCTGTAGACAGGTGATAGCGACCACCCTGCAGGCCCAGCGCCGTGGGGTGGGGAGAGCAGAGGGTGAGCTTGCTGCTGGCCCCACTGGCCCCTCCTCAATGCCCAGCCCAGCCCAGCCCCACACTCACCCTTGGTGGAGCTGGAAGATTGGGAGCCACCACAAGGGTGAGGCAGCCAGGAGCTAAGAGAGCCGTGCACCCCACCCCAGGACCAAGTTTCCTCAGCTTAGCCACCCACCTGGGAAGGCCCTGGGTCGCCACGCATCTTGCCTGCTACCATCGAGTCCCAGGCGGCTACCACGAAATCATCTGTCTGAGAGGTCATCTCCACACCTCCCCTTTGGTGAAGACCTTCAGTTCACATCGACGTCGCCATTGTGTTTCCACTCAACACAATGAAGCACTGAAGAGACGCAGCAGGGGAGCCCCGAGCCGCCCCGAGTCTGAGGTGGAGAAGGCCGGACTCGTCTCTCTTTGCCTGCTGTTAGCCTAACCACGAAAGTATCTCTTTATACAGAATACTTAACAGATTCTAATATATATTTGTATTTCATTTTGTTATAGTATTTTTATATGTTAAAGTCAACATCCAGTGTCTCGTTTGATTTGCAGATGTCTGTGGCTGTGACGTTCGGTTTGGGGGTTTCCGTAGGCTCGTTTGGGTCGCTCTCCTAGAGAGACTGGTTTCGAGCAGGCCCGCGAGGGAGCCACGCCTGCCCTTTGCCTAGAAGTGCTGTCTTAGAACATGTTGGATATTGTCTGTTGTCTTCCACGTGAACATGACATTGATTCACTCAGGTTCTGTCTGGCTGATCTCTTCTTCCCACTGAGCCGGGGCTGTCCACAGGCGCCCTCCTGGGTTCAAGGGCTTCTGGGTGCCCACACGCCAGCCACAGGCCATGAGGGCTCCCAGGTGCAGCGCATGTACAACAGCTGCCCTCGGAGCTCTCTGGTTTTCCTGAGGTGGCAGAGGTCTGTCCCTCCTGCAGGGGTGGGGGTGGGGGCGAGGAGGGGGCCTGGGAGACGGCTGGGTCATAGCTCCCGGGGCGTCAGTGTGACGGCAAGCCTGGCACTGTGCGCGCGCGCGCACACACACACACACACACACACACACACACACACACAGATCCGGGAGGCTGCTCATCTTGTTCCCCTTCGAGGGTCTGCGACACACCCAGGTGTTGTAAGTTTGTGGACAGAGGCACACCCATGTTTAACCTGGCAACCGATTGGAGAGCAGTGTGGCTTCTCAGGCTGTCGTGTGAGGTTAACCTGCCTGTTGCCAAGACAGCAGTTCGTAGGGATCAGTGGGGAAAGGACGCAAACATAATGCTACAATGATTCTGCGACGGTTTCCAACTACATACCAAATTGCACACCGGAGTTTTGTAAGATGGCATCCGAGGGAGGACAGGCCTGGCAACCAGGTGGGGCCAGGCCCCTGGCACTGAGGGGACACAGCTGGCCCTCCTCTGAGGCCAGGACATAGACTCACTTCCCACCAGGAGGCTGGGTGGTGGCGCTGGTCACAGGGCTGCACCTGAATAGCAGTCACCTTGAACGTGGGCAGTGACAGTAACTGCAGTGCCTCTAACACATTAGGGATTTGGGAGGAAATGTGAGGAACCAGGCAGGTCCAAGAGAGAAAATGGGTTAAAACAGGTTTATGAGCTCAAGTGTCTGGAGTGGGCAGCCCGGTACCCGTCAGTCAAGGGGGCACACGCCCTCTGGGCTGTCACTTGCGTGGCCACTTCCGAGGAAGCAGCAGGTACAGACCGTTTCCTGCAGAAGGAAAGGGACGAGTGGTAGCTGACAGTGGGGGGCGGTGACCTCAACCGACTGGTTCCAGCTGGTTCTGACCAGGCACTAATTTTTCAGGTCTTCCTGACCTTTTTTTAAAGAGAAGCCAAAAATCAATTTTTATGTGAACACTCGTTTCACAAGCTTAAGAAAATCAACCACCAAAAAACAATGGGCTAAAAATAAGACACATTTGTGGGCACCAGTGTGCAACCTTGGAGTTCAAGGAAAATAAGAGGCAAGTTTCAGAGTTAGAAGGACAGCCCCTGCCTGGCCAGTGTTGCTCAGTGGTTGAGCGTCGACCCATGAACCAGGAGGTCACGGTTCGATTCCTGGTCAGGGCACATGCCCTGGTTGTGGGCTTGATCCCCAGCAAGAGGCAGCCGATCAACGATTCTCTCTCATCATTGATGTTTCTCTATCCCTCTCCCTTCCTCTCTCTGAAATAAATAAAACCTTCTTTTTTCTTTTTTTAAATTTAAAGGGACATCCCCGTCCCAGGGAACGCACACTGCAGGGCTTGGTGGGGGTGGAGGCAGCTGACAAGTTCTCCGACGTGGTGATAACGTATCTCTATTATCCCTACACCCCGAGCCAGGGTGCACCTCTTGGTCACATTCTAGCTTTTCTACCACAGGAGGGTCCTGGAACAAGATAATTCTCCAAATGTAAACTGAGAAGGGGTTGGCACAGCTGCCAGCATATTTCCACTGGGTGTGGTTGGGCATGCCCATGGCCACGGTCAGATGAACTGGTCAGTGAAACCATGGCTGATTCCACAGGAACCCCTGGCCCACTGGATCCTCAGCCAGGTCCATCTCAAGGAGACTTGAAAGAATATAATGAAACAGGTCGTGAGGCAAGTAAATGGAAAGGTTTCCCGCCATCTTTCCGGCATACCCCAACACGGGCTACAGAGACTGTGGCAGCCCCCGCTGGTGGCTGTGTGTATCACCCCCTTATTGCAAGCTGCTTACCTGAGGTCAGGAGCCTGCGGAAGCCCAGTGGCCCCTGCCTCTCAGGATGCAGCACCTCGATCGGCTGCCTCCTGCACAGCACCTACTGGGGATGGAGCCCACAACCCAGGCATGTATCCTGGCTGGGAAGTGAAACTCCTGGTTCATGGGTCAACGCTCAACCACTGAGCCACACCAGCCAGCAGGGGATGTCCTTTTAACTCTGGCACCTTCCCAACGCCACCATGGGAATTCCCAAGGACCCTCCCACCGTGTTTTCTTTTGCCTGAAGTCAGGCATGACTCACAATGACCACAGATCCAGCCACCAATGTCCCTTTAAGCCCAATATGACATGGGGGTCGAAGCAGAAGTATTGCTTTTTTTGGCCACTCATCAGCTTTGCTTATGCATCGGTACCTCTTCAGTGACTACACAAACACGCTTTAATATCAAAGAAGTTTAATACGCTGCAATAAAATAGGCGCCTAGAAAAAGCTCATGGGATAGATGTCCAGGTTAGAGTAATCCCTCCCACACATCCTCTAGCTCCACACCCCACCCCTCAAACCAAACAAGAAAATCTGAAACAACCAAGGAAATCCTTCCAAGCTTGGGTTTCAGTGAGGACCCTTCACCAATAACAAGAACACAGTTTCCTAAGTGGCCTAATAGGAAAGCAAAACACAGAAGCACACAAAGTCCACAAGATTTCAATATTTAGGAGACTTGGTACATATTCAAAGTTAAAATAACTCCAACTTTTATAGCTATACATATTGTTTTAAAGCAACTTAATATATTTTAAAATTTCATATATACACTCTCAAAGGTTCTTCAGGTGAGGTATGTAAACATTGTCTAATGAAAAATTTTCAATGTTTCAAACCAACAAATTCACAGCATACATTGAATTTTCATCCATAAACAACACAGTATTTCCCTACACTCTCTAACATAGTGGACATCCAGGCCCAAGAGATACACGCTGGCCCTCTGATAACCCTTTGCAGAATTTCTCATCTCAGGAGCACACGCTTGGGACCGGGAAGGGGCGGGGCCCTCGGAGACTCTCTCCCTGGGCATCTGGATCACTGGCTAAGACTCACAAGACAGCAAAAAGGAGCACATCTGAACAACTACAAGATTGACCTTGGCAATGACAACACGGGGAGGAACCAGAAAGACCTTTAAAGGAACGGTAGAGATTCATCTTAGAACTCCCTGGATCCACAGCCGGATCGGCAGCCCTCGCCCGAGATTCATCTGAAGGGCCCTGAAGAGAATAAACCACCACGGCACCTGAGCTTCAGTTACATTGTGTGGGCCCCCGGCCCCTCGAAGGCATGAACTCTGGCCTGAAGTAGGACCCTGGGCTGTGCTTTTCATACAGGTTGGGTTGCATTTCTTAATATCGTGATGCATATGGGAGAATAATGCCATGAGTTTATCAAGACCACTAACGCCTGCACACAGGCACGGGCCAATGACCTTGGAGGAGCTCCATTTTGAAAACTACGTGTTCCCTGAGGGTAAACAGCAGGCTTCTATTGAGATTAAGTGAGGCTAGAAAGGGGATTATTTATTACAAAGCAATAAGACTTGGGGCACCTCAGGCCAGAATTCTATTGTACTCTCACGTCATCTACAACGCCCCCTCCCCGCCCTCCCACCACATGAAGTAGTCACCTTCCCAATGATACAACGTAGGTCAGTTTCTTTCCTCTTGCTTGCTTTTTGGCTCAGCAATGGAAAGTTTTATCCTAATGCACCCACTTCAAATCTAAAAAACACTAGTGAAAAATTCCAAACACCATCATAAATACAAAAGAGAAGACATATTCCAAAAGCCTACAAAATTACATTATTCTATTCATGGTTATTTGGGTGTGGGGTATTTTTTGTAAAAGTTTAGGACGGTCACTAGGAGAGGCTGCTGAACAGCTTCGACACCTGTGGAACTGGGCACGCCGGGAGACCCGGAGGAGCGGCTGCCCTCTGCACTCACCAAAAAGGTTGAACCCCAGAGAGAAGGGGGCTCTAGACATTTCAAACCCAGGCACGGGGGAGGGTTCCAGAAACTGGGCCAGCTTCTCAACGTAGGTCAGATATAGTTAAAGGACTTCAAATCGGCCATTTAAATTTCTAATGTAAATGGTTCTTACTTTTACTCTATCGCCAAATGAGCTTTGCCTCAACTAGATGCTGGAAACCCTTACAAATTCATGGAAAATGGACACTTTTTCCATCTCTATGCCCAATTTTTGATGTCTGGTGCTGGCAGATTTCTCACCCATTCCTGGAGTTCTGTGACTGGAAGGAGTGTGCAGACAAACAGAAGCAAATATTCAAGTACAGCAACCTCTCAGGCCAAGGCAAGAGGTCTTAGCAAGAGCTGTTCTACCCCCACCCTATCCTCTGAGACAAGGCCCACAGGGAGCCGGAATAAATGTTATTACCTAGGATCTTATTGCTTAGAGGCAACACATCAGAAAGAACACCTGGAAATCTGCTCTGCAGATCTGGGACTGACCACTGACCAGTTTGTCACACACACACACACACACATATAATACATAACATAACCAGATGAGAAAAGGGGGCGGTTAAAGCTTGGATTTGATGTAACATTACAGATCAAATGCCCCAAACAGCTCTCAACCTGCTGGTTTTTTGTTCTTTCTCCATGTGTGAATTGTGTTATGAAAGGAAGTCCACTGCTCAAAATATATTCTTCTACAATACTACATGCAAACCGACATCACTCCAAACATGAATCTGTATACAGCACACATAATAAATATTTTTAAAAAACTATTTACAACATCACTTCCTGTGAACATTGAAATGCAAGCAAAATTTCTTTCTTCCTGCAAAAGATAAAAAAAGTTTTGACTGTCTAGTTCAGTACTAAATTCCCTGGCACCTAGTTACCCATTCACATTTCATCTTAAAATCAGATTTGCTTACAAATAGTATCATAGAAAAAACAAACATTCTCCAGCATTACTGTTCAAGTGTCCTCCTCATTTGTTTGGAAAAGACAAAGGGAAGCCATAAGTAAGATAGGATTCAAATAAATGACAAAATCCCCTGTGGTCCAGTCCCAAGCTGCCGTCTTCAATCCAACAGAATGAGACTCATGACTCAGCAGAAGTGCCCAGGAATGGGGCACAGGGGAGAGGAAATGACCAGAAAGCATTGGTTCCGTCATGTCTAGGGGTGCTCTGAATTGCAGACCAGGACTCCTGAGAAGTAAAGTTGCACACATCTTAGAACAGATGGTTTTGTCCTGTAGCCACAGGTGGGGCGGGCCCACATCACAGATGCTTGCTGAGATGGGGAGGGGGAGAGAAGAGGGAGGGGGGGAGAAAAGGGGGAAAGCCAAGTTGCTCATGAGTACTGTCAAGGTGTGAAAGAAAACATGCTTATCCCCCATGGTTCAGGGGGCGGGAACAGGTGTCTTTCACAAACACGAGAAAGACTGAAATACAGCTTAATGCTTTCTTTAGGCAACAAGTGGTTTCTCCATATCCCACAGGTATGGGTTTGGATTTCCTTGGGGTTACAACTAAGGCTCATTTCCCTGCACAGGCTGCTAAAGTGAACGTACCAACCATGTATGCAAAAAGCGGGCTGCTTGGGGCTAGCCCTGATGCCACACCCGGGGCAGCCATACCAATGGCGGGAGACCCACTTTGTTCTGGGATAGAGTGACAGTGGGGGATGCACGCAGGGTTCCCAACCCATGTCCCATCTGCCCCAAAACAGGGAGGGTTCCGACCTTTCTGGCTTCACTGTGTTGTGTGGGGGTTCAATGGCTGAGCATGGTAGTAGCTGGGGAGGACGGGTGGCTAGAAAGAACACTTTTTTGGAAAGCCCTTTTGACAGTTAAATTTTTTTGCTAAAATAAATACTTTCTATAGAAACATTTGAACAGGAAAATATCACTACTTACACAGTGAAATAAATTCTACAGTGGTGTGTATAAATAGGTGCTATAGATGCATTTGAAACACTACCACAGTCTCCTAGATCTAGTATGAAGAATGCAGAAACCACTGGTGAAACTAATAACCTTAAGCTATAGTGGCTCTAAAACTAATCTCGACCTGTGGTATACATATTCAAAATTATGCAAATCTTGTCTGTTTAGCATCTCTTCCACAAACTAGCTCCCAACCACTACAGCTTTAGCTACAAGACATGAGGTGTAGATGATAGAAAACAATGGGGTGAAGAAGTTGACAATTTTAATAGCATCTGGGCCCCAATGGCTAAATATTAAAAGAAAAATAAAGTTATGAGAGAGAAAAATGCTCCTGATATGACCTCTAAATGCTCAGTGAAGTGCCCGGAAGTGGGAGACTTCCTGGAGAAGCCGCCTCCTGAAAGGGGCTGGTGGCAGAAGCAGGAGAGGGAAGAGACAAAGGTGCCACAGGCGGCTCCTCATGATGAGGTGAGTCAGGCCTGACTAGGTGGCTTCTGGCCCAGAGAGCCCTGAACTTCCGCCTAAAGCTGCTGACATGCTGGTATTTTTAAGAGCTGGGGATGGGTGGTCTGGGTGCAAGGTTCCAAGCAGCAAAGACCATGCATTTATGTCCACAATGACCCATCTCGGGGAGTGAGAAACGTGCAAGTGTACTGCACAGCAAGAGGGCTCCACGGGGTAGAATGGACTCGCCCTGTGCTTGCTGGGGAGGCACCACCCTCGCTTTAGGTTCACTGGGAACCCTCTGTGTTGAGCCCTGCCACAGAGGAACGTTTCTCCAGAGTCCAGCTTGCCCGACTCACACATGACAAAGACCAGGTGCTTTCAGTTTAAGATTTCATACTTCAACTACGCATCCTTGTAGATAAGGCTGTATGTCTACAATTCCACAAATAGTCAATCAACAAAAGAGGGGGTGTTTCTTGTTCTTTAAAAAAATTTTTTTAATTGATTTTAGAGAGAAGGGAGAGGGAGAAAGAGAAACACCAATGTGAGAGTGGAACAGATCGGCTGCATCCTACACACCCCCTAGTGGGGTTGAAGCCCGCAATCCAGGAATGTGCCCTGACCGGAAATCGAACGGGCAACCTTTTGGTGCACGGGATGATGCCCAGCCTACTGCACCACATGGGCCAGGGCTTCTTGTTCTTTAACACACAAGCATTACTCGGGGATAATGTGAAACAGCAGCCATGTGCTAAGATGAATTCACAAGATACCCTGAAATCCAAAAGGAAAGAGATGTTGCAGTGCTGGACTATATGAAAAAAATAAGCGTGTACCTAACAGGCCACACAATTTGATCTTGAGCGACATATTGCAAAGGTCATAAAACCTTTTCTGTAAAGGGTCAGGTAGTAAATATTTTATATTTAGGCTGTCGGGGTCCATATGGTCTCTATTATTTATATATATAAATAATATGTAAGACCATGTAGAAGTCTTTAATATGTATTGTGTGTGTGTGTGTGTGTGTGTGTATATATATATATATATATATATATATATATATATATGTATTTGTTTTTTGGTTAATCCTCACCTAAGGATATTTTCCCATTGATATTTTTTAGAGAGAGTGGAAGAGAGAGGGAAAGACTGAGGGATATATCGGTGTGAGAGAAACACATTGATTGGTTGCCTCCTGAATGCGCCCCAACCAGGGCCCAGGCCGGGGAGGAGCCTGCAACCAAAGTATGTGCCCTTGCCCGGAACCAAACCCAGATCCTTCGGTCTGCAGGCCAATGCTCTATCCACTGAGCCAAACCAGCTAGGGCATTAATATATTTTTTAAATAACCATTTTAAAAAAAGCAAAATGCACTCTTCCAATCTCTGGCATATTATACAACCATGAGTGTGTAGTTGTTTCTTTTAATGGGAAGCCCACACTTCACATGGCTCACCTACTGAGTTCCTTGTGTTAAATGGAATGGTCCCCGAAAGGCAAGAGGGCCTGTGTGTCATTGTGCTCAGCAGACGAACAGAACTGAAGGATGGAGCAACAGATGGCTCTGAAATTCAGAGAGTCAACCACTAGCACTGAGAAAAGGAAGATCAGACAGAGGGATGGTAATGGACCAGACCAACTTCAGCTCAATTCCAAAGACAAAAGCATGAGCAAGGATACCCTCTGCCAAGTGCCCACGGTGGTTCCCAGTCCCCAGCACAGCCTGACAAAGCTCTGAGCCTGAAGTAGCACCAGAGCTCTGGTTTTCGACCTGAATATGACTTATTATTAAAGAAGTCAGACCATCAAAGTTTTCCAATCCATCTACTGTAGAACAGAGTAGTATATTTTGATGTTTCAAGGGAAGAATTATATATACATTTTTAAATATATTTTTATTGATTTCAGAGAGGGAGGGAGAGGAGAGATAGAAACATCAGTGATGAGAAAGAATCATTAATCAGCTGCCTCTCGCACGCCCTGCACTGGGGACTGAGCCCACAACCTGGGCATGTGCCCGGATCAGGAATCTAACCATGACTTCCTGGTTCATAGTTGATGCTCAACCACTGAGCCTAGCCAGGCTCAAGGGATGAATTATATTAATAGCTGTCTCAAAGGCTTCCCAATTCTGCTGTTTTAAATACAAATATCTTTTTATTTCCCCCCCCTGATGACATGCACAGGGAATACTAACCACGATATGATGTACATAATAAACATGATTTCTTACTCACATTTTTTATTTGTTGGCTTGTCTTTAATAAAATTAATTTGAAAGAAGAGTATGGGATTGGGGGGGAAAATCAGTGCCAATAGTTTTATTTTCCTAGAAGCTGGCCCAAAATATTACATAATCAACAATGCTTTGGGTTTGTGATTGGACTTTGTTTCCCCTCTGTGAAGACTTTTTCCATATGAATGTGAGGTTCAGAAAACTGAACATCAACTTATGCAGTCTCAACGAATTTGGAAAGAAATAAAATCTTGACTTACTTTAAAAATAAATAAGAAGTGAGGCTGGTGTCAGGTCTATGATAGTGAAATGAGCCCTGGCCGGTTTATCTCAGTGGTTAGAGCATCAGCCCACAAGACCCAAGGGTTGCAGGTTCGATTCCTGGTCAAGGGCCCATACCTTGATTGCAGGTTTGATCCCTGGCCCAGGTTGTGTGTGTGGGAGGCAATCAGTTGATGTGAGATCGATGTTTCTCTATCTGACCACCTCCTCTCTGACTTTCTCTCTAAGGATCATCGGAAAGGATATCCTGGGATGAGGATTGGAAAAAAAAGTGAAATGAGAGGCCCAGGCCTCATAATTTTAGAATTCCTATTTGCTCACAGGCTGACTCTATAGGCCGTCTCGTTTTGGTTACTGTGATGGGTGATTCTAAGAAGGAAGATATGAGGCTAAGGTAGCTCAAGTTTCAGGAGATGGTATTCAATGTGCTAAAGCAATGATGTAACCTGTCTCTTCTGTTGCAAGAAGAAATTTAAAAATGTAAAGGAAGAATAAAGTTGAGGTAAGATAAGGAGGAGCAGGAAAGAAGTGGACAGAGGGAAAGAGGCAGAAGAAAGGAGAAGATACATCAGGGAAGGTTGTTCCTGAAAAAGGATTATTTTCTCAAGCAAGGCTGGCAAACTTTTTCTTAAAGGTCCAGACAGTAAGTATTTCAGGCTGTGTAGGTCACATGGTCTCTGTTGCAGCTCCTCAACTCTGCTGGAATGCAGCTGCAGACAACCCAGACACAAATGGGCGTAGCTTTGTTCCAATAAACTTTTATTTACAAAAGAGGAACCAGCCCACGTTCTGCAGACTTGATAAGTTGTTTCTAAGCCAACAGAGAGCCTTAAAACCGAAAGGATTGGGTGTGGCTCCTGGGCCAGCATCTTGGGAAATGCCAGCCCCGTCCCAGGGACGATGACAACACCAGCCTGTGGATGGTGACACCAGAGCCTTGCCAGCCTGCATCACACAGCAGTCCTTTCCTACCAGGCTCTTAGCTCCACTCATCAACAGGAACGCTGCCCCTCATGAGTGACAACTCCCGCCCTCACCACAGAATCCATCACAAGGCAGGACAGAGACCCCAAATTCAATTCAAAGTAACTGCCTGGAAGTGTTTTTTTGATGACCTGTCTGAACAGGGAGAGATTCACTGCCCCGAGTGTGTGATGTGTAGAGAATTCATGAAAAGTACCGCATATGTGGAGGGATGACTAACTGCACCTCTCTATCTACATCACCTCAGCAGCAATGAGGCATGGAAGCCACAGCTCACGATTATTTCTTTAAGGTAAGGCCCATGTAGAAGTCTTTAATGAAATACAGACACAACAGAACTGGCTACCTAAGGGATCGAAGGGGCCAGCAACTGCAGATGAACAGATGCTAATCACATTCCTATCTAGGAAAGCTCAAGAGCAGAACCAAGGAGCACGGCCTTCCTGCTGCACTACATGCCTGAGGAAGTGCGGGGGTGAGGCTCAGGGCGTCCTCCCAGGCCCAGGGAGCCTCACAGGACGGAAGATGTGTCTGCAGAAGAGGACCCAGCTCTGGGTGGAGCTTCAGTGGTGCTTCCCCCAAAGCTAAGAGATACTATCAGTGGTCTCTGGGCATCCACTGGGGCTCCATTAGGACAATCACTTCACTGAGCTCAGGCCCAGAAGCAGAATTTCCTTCTGATCTGGAATCTAGAATGTGGGACAAGCCATCTGGTGGCAAGCCATACTGTGGCGATGGCTATGAGAAGGAGGTCTTTGCAAGAGAGGGGGGACAAGGGGAGACTTGAGTCAATATCAAAGCCTGGGCTTGGAGGTATCTGGGGACAGCATCGGCTTTAAGTGTAAAAAGGCCTTCTGGAGACAGTCCTCAAATTAATTAATTCCCTTTCTTTCTTTCTTTCTTTCTTTCTTTCTTTCTTTCTTTCTTTCTTTCTTTCTTTCTCTCCAAAATTAACTGAATCAGCAAAAACAAGATTCAACAAATACAAAAATAATTCTAAACTTTTAATCTCATAATTATGCAGAATCCCAGTCTATTTAAGTGTAGTCACTACTATAGTGTAAGTTGATTTTAAAGATGATCCACTGCATTAAGTGTATAAATAAATACATACACACACATTGATAACTTTTCTCAAATGCTTTTTAGAATGGGAGAGAAGGCTATTATCTTGAAGTGAACTTTTACAAAAGAAAAAGAATGTAGAAAAGTAATGGAATGAATTATAAATCTGGAACTGGAATAGTTCCACCCACCTACTGCCTCACACCTCTCTCTAACATAATGCAAGCACCCTTCCAAGGTCGTCTATGTGCAGCTAAGGGGGCATCTTGAACGCATGTACAGGAATCCGCACACCTGACATCGGCAAACCTCAGCTATAAGTCACCACAAAAACAATATCCAGTGACGACTCTACATAAAGATTTTTTTAAACTTTAAAACCACTTTTAAAGATTAAGCGAACTTACTCAAAACATATTAATGCTTTTGTGCAACTTAATGCTGAGAAAGGGTTGCCAACATACACACTCAGCAGTTTCATTAACATAGGTAGCTCTTCATTGGCCATAGTCAAAGATATATATATAAAAAAAATTGAGACTTATGGGATAGAGGAGACATTAGGAAAAAAAATCACGGCTTCACTGAAGATAGGCTTCACTATCTATGAAATTCAATACAACTCTCCATTTCCCATGAATCAAATGCTTTTTTCCAGGCCTATCCAATCATCAGAAGTTTTCATTGTACATATACAGCAAGCCTTTTACAGATTGGATAGAAGGCCTGTTTTATCATAATCTAAACAAACTAAAGCATAAAAAAAGTCCATCTGGGTTTATCTAAACTGGTCTGAAACAATCTAAATGGAACAATTTTTAATAGAAAGGACAGAGCAGCAGCTGTCCTTTTAAGCCTGTGTTGGTGACAGAGCATGTTTGAGAAACTGGTTGAGGCTTTAACAACTAAGCCTTTTTACAGAATGGCCCAATGGAAATGTTGAGTACACACGGTGTCATAATGGAGCAATGTCATAGGCACCAAGGTAAAGCCAATGCACCCATTTGAGGCTTCACCCGGGAAAGGCAAACATGATCAATTACAAATACTGCAGCTCTCACTTTTGAGCCTGACATGGCCAAGGCAGGAGTGATACTACAAGCATGAACTATGAGTACGGTGCTAACCAATCAGAATGGACCCCATTCTAAACTTGTACTTCCACATAACATTAGCTCGGGTGCAGGCCATGTGGGGCCACTATAAGATACTGGAGCTGCTTCCTCCAACTGCAAGTCTGCTGTGGCCTTTACATAACTCTGTGCTCTTTTGACCTTTCTGAGCCCAGTGCCAGAATGGTTTGCAGGATGTTCACAGAAAGCCTTGGCACCCAGTTCACGAATCCCCTAGCACAGAGCATGGGGAAGAAAGAATTTACTGTGGAACTGGGGTTAGGAGACATTTGTGGCCAATAGCCAGAGGCAAATGTACCCAAATGCACATGCACACACACTCTTAAACTTTTCTACTACTGGAAATAACATTTTGGCTCTTTTTGAATATGGAAGTACTCAGGGTAAAAAAGAAAATTAGCATAGTCACTTTCATCCTAATTGGCAAATTACAGCTATAAGCGGGGGTGGGGGAACTTTGTTAGAGTGCTAGCAAGCTCAAGGCCCAAAATGAAAATGATGGTAAGGACAAGTATTGCAAATAATTTTTAGAGGTCATAAACCAAAATCAATACCTGGTAACATACCTTTTGTCTCATGGGCACATAATTTAGAATCCATTTTTTTTTCAAATGACAAAAGATCAAAGGTAGGAGTGGCCTACAATGAATATGATTTTTAAAAAAGGGGTAACAGAAATACTAATCTTTTACAACAATTATAAATGCCCTCTGCATTCTCCACATACCATAAAAATGATTTGGTTTAGCTTTCAAATATCATTTAAACAGACAAACCAGACAGAGAGGGAAGTTCACTGCTGGGGTTGTAGAGAGGAGCATCTGCTCACGTACAGACTGCAGGGAGCTGCTGGAAAGCTACTTTATGTGCATGACGGTGGTCTTCTCGGCTACAGTACAAGTGCTTGTGCATCAAGTATAAAATACAAGCCTTTATCACATAGATCAGCTTTTTAGCTTTTGTAAATTTTAAACACAAAAGGGATAAATAAGGCACTGTACTTTTAAAAACTACAACTGCTTGGTTCCAAGTTTAAAACCCAAGGAACAACCAGAATATAATATATAACTTCCCTTACTCAGCCTCGGAGAAAGACTGCAAGCTTCCTTCTCCACCTGAGATGCATTTTCTGGCATCTTAAATTGTGGTGTTCTCCATTAACTGCAGGTTTGAAAGGCTTGATAAGCTTAGAAAAGCGGATTCAGTTAATGCAAAATAAAGGGTTCCTTCTATAGAACAGTTTTACTCTTGGCTGCCACCCCTCGGATCACTTTGCGTCCAGCCGCTGCCGTTTGTTGTGGGAAGAGTCCAGCTTTGCCTTCAGCTTTCGCTTTCTCTGGGCTGCACTGTTCTCCGGGGTTTTCATCAAGGGTCTGGCCCCAGCCTTTCCACTGTTCTGCTTTCTGTTGGCGGCTTTCTGTGGCCTTGAAGAGGATTCATTTGCACCTTTTTGCTTTGCAGGTTTAGTCACTGTCTCTGAGGCGGGGGACTGGGTAGGTCTTTTGTTTGTGTTCTCTTTTTCTTTCCTGAAGGGAGGGCAGCTCTTCCCAGAGGACTTTTTAGGGATCTTCACTTTATTTTCTTTCAAAGATGTCTTTTTGGGCAGGTGGCTGACTCTATCCCTTGCAGCTGGCTTCTTGGCGGCAGGGGTTTTGGTGGCTCCATCGATACGTTTTTCTTTGCTGGCTTTCATCACCGGTCCCTTGTCCTTTCTGTCCTGAGTGCTGCCACCTTCGGTCCTCTTGCGTTTATTCTGAACTTCTGCTTTCGGCAAGATTTCAGACATCTGCTTCCCTTTCCTTCCCTTTGTCCCATCAGCACGCTTGGGTTTAATGGGAAACCCGTAGGCATCCACCTGCAGGGCATGCCTGGGGGACATCAGAGGGTGGATGCACACACTTTTACAACTCTGTTTACCTTCCACAGCCAGACCAAAAGGGCTTTCCTTTTTCTCGTTCTTGATCAAGCGCTGCTGAGCTCTGAGCTTTCCTCGAATATTGGAATACTTTCTAAGGATCCGGGTACTGGCTGGAGTAGGTGAGCTCGTAGAAGGATGGCTATTTCTACCTTCCTTGACTTCCTCTTTTCTGTCTTCAGAACTGGGGCCACGGTTGACGTCACTGCTATTCTCTGGCTCCACTTGGTCAGGATTCTCGCGAAATTTGGCCCAGAGCTTCTGCATTTTCCAGTTGTTCTTTGCAGGAGTAGCTCCGGGAAATTTCTTCAAGTGTTTTTTCAAGCGTTCGGCCTGCAGTGAGCTGGGGTACAGGCTGGAAGGTGAGTACTTCTGAAGAGGATGCTTGACAGGAGGTGTGTCTCCCGGAAGACGAGTGTTGAGCTTCTTCACAATGACCAGAGACCGGGTTTCAGTTGTCTCTAAGAACCATTTACAAACATTAGATAATTTAAAGTTTGTCATAAACAGCATCTGAACAGGAGAAAATTTTTGAGCTTCCAGTGGACCCTTACATTTCCGTGACCTTTTCTTGCTTTTCCAAATCTCCTTCAGCTTATCCGACCTGTTCCTTGCTCTTGGTGTTGGCTGGCCTTCTTTCTCCAGCTGGATCCAGCCTTTCTGAACTTTCATGTATTGGGCATTGAAGTTGGCGATGAGCTCTTGGTTTTCCTCCTCGGCACACCATTCCATAAACTTGGGCTGGTCGTCGACCACTGCTTCCCCATCATCCTCATCTATGGGATCTCCACTCTCTGAAGCTTCATCGTCCTTGGGTACTGGGTTTTCTTGTGCTGCTTCCTTTTCTGAAGTCATTTTTGTGGTATCCAAGGAGTCCAGAGAATGAGCATGTCTTAGGTTGTAGTTCGAAGACGTCTGTCTCGTGAGCCTTGGTACCCATTTTGAGGGCCCAGCATCATCATCACTTCCACTGCTTGACAACGCGAGCACGATGGATGGCTCATCATGATCATCACCTTTATGCAGGGCGTTCGCACTGTCCATCTCACTGACAACCTCCTCCACGTCTTGTGCAGGAACAGGTCCTGGCTTTTCTTCTGACTGCTCTGGGAAAGGACATGGAACACTTTCTAAGAGGTCACAGGCATTTTTCTCACCTAACTTAGACTGGACATAGATTTCCAGTCTCTCTCCAGGCAGGGGCTGGCCAACTGTGGTAATAGGATCACTGTTGGGGAAAATATCTCCTTCGTCTTTTTTGGCCTCTTTTGCCAGCATGTTTTTAAAAGTCTGCCTAGTGATGATCCCACCTTCTTCGCCCTCCTGCTCAGCATCCTTCTCAGAGGGATTTTCATTGACATATGGGTTTTCGGTGTCATCCATAGCTTTTGGGTGGAGACCCTCGGTCAGAAAGCCCTCCGGTGTTGTTCCACCAGGGTACTCTTCTTTTTCAGAACATTCTGCACCAGGATTTTTAGAAACCTTGACCTCAGGGCAAGCAGAGGAAGAATCTGAGCTTTGATTTCTTAGGTCCTTATCGGCAGAGGACGAATCTGAAAGTTGACTTCTTAGGCACCTATCTGAGGCCTCAGGACATTTTTTACCCTTTTTCTTCTTGTCCGAGTTCTCTTCAGGTGAGTCAATGGTTTGTTCACACATATCTTTTTCTGAAGGATGTTTTCTATCATCACCTTCTTCCTCTAATTTTCCTGTACTACTTGCTGCCTTACTTTCCTCAATGTCACTGGGGTTTTTCTTAGTCAAAGTGCTGCTTTCCTTCGAGAGTGGGTCAGAATCCAGCTCCTGGGCAACTTCAGTCTCAGTCTCAGTACTGATGCTTTGTTCATCCTCAGCCTTTCCCAGGCTTGCAGGAGGCTCCAAGCTCACGGGGGCACTTTGATTTTCTGAGCACAGAGGACTTTCTGCCCTTCTGACTGTTTTAGGAGAAGAACTAGGCCTAGACACAACATCTGCTCTGTCTCCCTCAGAAAAGATCTCAGTAGAGGGAACCAGGGGACAGTCTTCAGGTTCACTTGTCCCCTTTGCATCAGGCAGTTCAGCTGGGCATTGGTCTCGTTCAGGGGAAGCTATCCCACCTGCTGTGGGAGCTGCAACCATGGAGCTGCCTTCGGGCATGGCCTCTTCCGGAAGGTGAGCTGGGAGAGGCCATGCCAGGCTGGAGGCTGTTGCTTCCTCTGACCTTGGGGAGCTGGTTGGATTGGATTGGTTCACTGTGGGGCAAACCTCAGGCTCTTGAGATTTCTTCTCAGATGAAACATCGCTGTCTCCTTCCTTAGGGGAGGTTATTTCTTCACTAGGCTCTTCAGCGTTGTCCTCTCTGGGAAGCTGCACATCCACCGTAGGTCTCGGGGCTGAAATGATGAGGGTCTGTTTGGGAGTGACCACTGCCTCTGATGCCAGTGTCGAGCAGCTTGGTTTTTCTTGGGAGTGTAAGTTTCTGGCCAGTGTGCGAACAGTCGGCAGCTCGCAACAATCACCATTGAAAAAGTATCCTCGAGTACTTTTTCTAGCTGTTTTCCGAGAAGACAACATCGATCTCTGATTCTCAAAGTGGCATTCTGTTATTGGCTGACTGATATAAACGACATCACATTGGTTATCATAATCATTTATCCTCAGCCCTGATGCCCTTTTACTCTTCCGAGCTGTCTTGATGGAGGCTGATAACATCTTGGTTCGAGAGTGTCCATTGGATGCTTTGTGCACAGCTGGCATGGGGCTGGGGGCTAACCAACCATCTTTGGAATGATCATACTGGCCCTTATCGCTGGGATGCAAATGGTAACCCACCTTATTTCTTCCTAGTGAGTGAAGATGGTTCTCTTGCTTTGGCCTTGAATCTTGTTCACTTGCCTCTAAATCCTGGCGCAAAGGCATTCTGGAGCTACATTGTAAAGTATTCTCTTTGTCAGCAGTTCTAGATGAATTCCCTGTAAACCCCGAGTCCCAAGCCTCTTCTGATAAAGCTCTGAATGAATGTCTTTGAGAAACAATACAGGTGCTGTTCTCCTCACTAGTCTCAGTTGCCGATTTTCCTGCAACCAGACTTTCTACTAAAGCTGAACTCTGCATATGGTCTTTACCATCCTCACATACTTTCACATTTGTGTCTTGCTCCTGTCCAGTGGTTTGCCCCTCCACGCTCTCAGAGGTGTGATGGAGGTTGAACGGGGAAGAATTAGATGTACTAAGGTATCCCAGAGTGGAACTATCCGTTGAACTCCCAGAATTAGGTTTAGTGGTTGGAAGTTCAGAGAGATCTTTCTGTACATTAGTCAAGGCATTCTCTCTTCCATCTACAGAGTTCGTCTCAGGAGGAGGCTCCTTCAGGGCCTTTTCTGCCAAGGGTAGAGGACTGTGAGAGCCTGATGAGTCTATCAAATCTACAGAATGAGGAGACTTCATATCGAGACACAGAGCATCATTTTCCTTATGTCTGGTGCCTAGCTGGGCACAGCCAGCATTGCAAGTGGATGCATCCATTGTTCCAGAATCAGAATGTTGTAGGTCCTCGGTGTCTGGCTGAGATTCGGTGTACAGATCGTTCAGAACACGAATGAACTGCTTCTGATGATGAGTGCACAATTTGACCATAAACTTCTCCAGGGGGGACTTCGACTGATTGTTAGAATCTACTGCTATTGCCTCTGTTGCGTTCTCACTAGATAGACAAAGAGAAAGAAGGAATTAGAATGGTCATTCTCCAAAGAACCATTTTTACATTTTGAAATTCACCAGATGTTACTCATGTTGTAAAGAGAGTGAACATTGTAGCCAAAACTCCTTCTAAATGCCTATATACTTTTGCTTCAATAAATCAATCTTTAACTAATTAAGTATAAGGCTGTTCTACTCTCAATTTTTAGTGACAACATCCTTCATACTTTTTTAAGTGATCATTCACAAATAATTTTTATCTTCTAAAGAAGAAATATTGAAAATAAATCTTTTTTCAAAAAATTAAATTTTGGTCACATTATTAACTCATTAGTCAATATATACTTTTGTTTTAGATCTGGGTACTACTGTTAAGTAATTATTGCTTTATAAGTCCACAAAACTGACAAAAATTCAGGTACATTACATTACAAATCTTGGTGTAGAAATACTTTGAGAAATTATAGTTTTAATATGGTTTCTCAGCATGACCAATTGGCTAGACTTTCTAATTCTGCAAATAATAATGCAGGAACCCTCTACCCCTTTCCTGGGGCATGGATGAACTGAGATCAGTAATTTCACATTTCATACACATTGAAAAATGGAATGACAAGCCATTCCTGATTCCTGGCCTCTAAGTGAGAAAACAGATGTGAAATGACATTGTAAGCTGTAGGGCTTTGTCAGTGCAAGACGGTATTATGTCTTTAGTCAAACCCCAACTGTGGCATTGTCTTAGACCAGCAGTGGGCAAACTATGGCCTGGCCCATTTGAAATGAATAAAACTAAAAAAAAAAGACCGTACCCTTTTATGTAATGATGTTTACTTTGAATTTATATTAGTTCACACAAACACTCCATCCATGCTTTTGTTCCGGCCCTCCGGTCCAGTTTAAGAACCCATTGTGGCCCTCGAGTCAAAAAGTTTGCCCACCCCTGTCTTAGACCTTCAATAACCATTTATAATAATCCACAGGGAAGTCATTTTACATTAAAGAACCCCTTTCACACTTTATAAGTCATCCGGGACAATTCTTAGAGTTTAACCTGGACAGTGGGGGCAGCAGGAAAGGACCATACAAGGTTCAAAACAGGCTAAAGGCAATTCCTGGCTAGACAGCCAAGAGTTTGCAAGAGCGGCTCAGTGTTCCTGGATGTCTGGGTCTTACTAAGCCCATGCAGCTGGAGTGCTCCAATGCTCTGGAGTTTTATTCAATCTCTCAATCGCTCTCTCTCTAGATTACATTTCTTCAGGAGCCTATTATCTGACTCTGTATGTAACATGGCAGAGCACTGAGGGCAGCTTAATAAATGTGCTGAACAGATGTTGTTTGATAACATCTCCAAGGTAACTCTTCTTTTCTTCAATCTGTGACATTATCTCCCAGCCATGAGGTGCCTTATAGGAAGGCTTACCCTAGCCAACCTACGCCAGCCTCCTACTTCCCCATCCTCCTCTGGCCTCTGAAGCAGTAGGGTTTTATTGAAAAGAGCACAGATTGTGGAATCTGAAAAACTTACATTCTACTTCTCACTCTGACATTTACTATTTACAGAATCTGGGGCAAATTAACCTTTCTGAACTTGGTTTCTTCGTCGGTAAATTGCACCTGAATATCAGTATTTCAAAGGATTGTTGTGAGATATTAGATAATGAACATAAAGCACAAAGCACCAAAAGCAGGTCTCCATTTTAGTTTCTCTGTTCCTGACTCAGGGAGATTTTAGGACCAAGTGGTGAAAAGTTGCTGACACACGTCTAAATACCAAACGAAATGAAATCAAGAAACTATTGGTGAAATCTGTTGTTAAAACTTTTACAAGCAAAAAGGTTAGCTTGTGTTTTATGTTCACAACTAGCAAGAGAGCACTTTTCTTCAGCAGTTCCATGGATATCTGAATGGGTCTACGTTAGGCTCCGGGTTAGATGGGCATGTCTTGGAAAATGCCTACCTCAAACTTGAAACTGATCATGGAATTGTGAGTAAACCACAAAAAAATATTATTAGATAAATATTATCACAGGTGTAGGGGATGGTAAACTTTAAAGTACATGGTGGCAATGGGGCAACATTCTAACAAAAAGAAGAAACGCAACTACAAAAACTCATTGGGCAGTATTCCTATGATACGTGTATTTTCCTTTCTATATATTGTCCTTCAGGAGAAAGTTTTTAAAAGGCAACGGCTAGAAGGGCAACAGGAAGAGTTTCCTCCTGCTGTATAAGAATGGCAATAACCTCCTTCCCTCAGAACAGGGGAGACACCAATGACACCCTCAGGTGGGGGACTATTAAGTCATGCCAACTCTAGGACTCAACGAGATGCACACAGGAGCTTAACTCCTCATGCAGCTGCAGACTTTGCAGCTGGAGGAACAGTCAGAGGGCCCCTGCCGAAGGACCCCACCCAGAAGGTACTTTGGGTACCAACAGTATACTAGTAATACAAGCATATAAATATATTTTTATATTTATATAAAAATAACACAATAAAGCAAGTGTCACAATATAGCAAGTCCTAATCATTTTGTTGGTGGAGGGTCTTGCCTTCAGTTGGTAAAAACAAAAAACAAAAAAGCACAATATTTGTGAAGCGCAATAAAACGAAGTATGCCTGTATTTGTTACAGGGTATAGCACTGTGAGATAGTGGAGAGTAGTCACCACTTCTGGTTGTGTGATCTTGGTCAAAACACTTTACCATTTTGGTTAACCTGCCCCATCTACCACACAGAATTTCTACAAAGAAAAGCCTGCAAAGTTTATACCAATATCAGTTATCATCACTGTCAGACAATCACATTAAATATGCTTCAGTAAAAATAACTTAGAGATCAGGAATGCCCATTAACATTTCCTTACAAGTTCATTCCCAATTTAAATGAATTTTCTGTTTTCCCTTCAAGTATCAAATATTTTAAAAATTTTAAATCTTTTTGATGGAAGTCTTAAAAAATATATCCTCCTCTGAACACAATTTAGTCCATCTTAATGACTCAGGTCATTATCATGTACACTATTATTAAAGTTAGTCATGCTTTTTATTACTCTAAAATGAACTACATTGGTAGTTTTGGGGGCTACTCAATTGAGTGAGTTTGTCTGCCGAAATACAGGAAAGCCACAGTGGCAGTCTGTATTTTATGAAAATCTTTCCTCTTACTGGGTTCCAAATAGAAGCTGCGTGTAGGAGCCCTGCTCATACCTTTTATAGAATACCTCTGCTCACTGTAAGCAAAAATAAACAGGCTCCAAATGAAGGTTTGAGGAATAGTTTTATATGTAAAGTATGTGGATTTTCTAACAACAACTTCAACTGCTCAGAGGCCTTTATCCCTCAGTTTTTGGTTCTTGGATGTGTTTCTGATGTTTCTGAATACATGACTACACATAAGTGGGATTTTCTACCTTTTCAATGCATCAAAGGTACTCTAAATGCATTTTAGCAATACACAAAGAAGGCAAAAAGGTTGGTAACAGTGTATGAGATAGATAAAGAAATATCCTGGAATCTTATTGTAGGAAAAACTGGAGAGAAATGGTTGTCCCCAACTCAAGAAGCATAGTCATTACCAAGTTTGTGAAAATCTTTGGGACACTGACTTATCCCTGAGATTGCTCTGGAAGCAGGCTGTAGCACTTGGGATGAACAGAACAATACGCCTGAGATTAATTAAATCAAGGCATGTGCCCAGTAAGAGGACAGAGTGCTCTGAAGAAAACTGAGGAAGTATTTTCTTCTAAAGTGATGCTCACATAAAATAAAAAACTGAATAAGCCTCAAGTGATCTAACTTCCTTTAAGGTTGTAAGACTTGGATCTGCTACTGTTGTTGCATATTTCAATAATTTAATAGTGCTTCAATATTTAGTTATTCCAAAGAGCCTTGCAACCAACCCTGAAGCAATGGCTGTGGCAATGTGGCTCAGACCACAGGTAGGTATGAACTAAACTGCAGGGTCATAGTAAGGGGAGGTGGTGTCTTCACAACCAAGGCATTAGTACCCACTGAACTCTGTCTAACCTGGAACACTGCAGTGCAGCACTTGGATGCTGAAACACAGCACCAGAGAGGCGGACACCGGCAACACAAGCCTTAAGAGGCATTTACAGCAATGGTTCAGGGAAGCTCAGGAGATAAAAATATTAAAGTTGCAAATGGCAACCTGGCTAGAGAGAAAGAGACTTCAACAAAGGGTTATTTGCATGTATGTTTTCTTGGTAGAAAGGATCGGGGCTGATGTACTAGTGAACCACAGGTCATCAGAGCAAGCCATAGGATGCTCCTTACCAGTTACACCCTTGGCTACCACAAAGCGATCCCACCTGGAGTGACTGCACGTGTTCCTGAAATCCTACGCCATAATGGTTTCATAAAATTCATTGGCAATTATGAGGGGTCCTGTATACTTATTCTGTAATTTGTATCTTTTACTGACTCATTTGTCTCTTTGTCTTAGCTTTCCAAGCAGATGTAAGCTATATGTGTGTACATAGGGACCACATTTCTGGTTTTCTCTTAGCAAGAAAGAAGGGAGGGGAGAAGGGAGCATCAAGGATGCCTCTGGGGTTTCTTCCTGGGCAGCACCATTTAGTGAGATAGGAACAAAGGCAATGGAGCTGGCGGCTGGTGATTGGTGGGGTGCGTTGTGTCTGATGGGTTCTGTTCTGTACACACTGAGTGGAAGTGTTTCTAAGATTCTGAATCTGAGATGCCTGGTTGGCAACTGGACACACAGGCAGAGCCCACTAGTAGCTTCAACTGGGCCTGAAAACCTTGACGTTAATACTAACCATGTCATTCAGTGGCCCTTCCATAATAGCTAACTTTATAACTATAGTAATAAAATCACTTTTGACTGTGCCTCTGCATTATCCAGATTCCTACCTTGATATTTCTCTAGAAATATTCTCAATAGTTTTAGATGAATTTTAATTTCATCTCTGAATGTTAATTTTAAAAATTAACCTCAATTCCTGAAGTTTAATTCTCTCACAA